TAATATTTCGCTTAAAGGAATAACAATTAAGATTCGTCTTGATTCCATTTTGAGATTGATTGCTTCATGTGATTTAATGATCTTCTGAGAGTGATTGTGAGTTTTCATTTTAAAAAGGCGTACCAATTATATTGCTTCCTGCTGACTTGGAAAATAAAAATTTTAACATTTTGACACTTACCAACAAACCCGTCAGCATTGACAACTCCCTCTTTTTCCCTTTGTGTTTACCTTGAACGACGAGACCAACAAATAAAAGAGATAAACCAATAATTAACAACAGAAGACTGTAAAGACTATTGTAATTATAGAGAGATAGACACAAATAGAGAGATTATAACCTTAGGCACAGTTCCTTCAAAAGACAATGAAGATATATGTAAAATAAAATTTATAAAAAAAGTTCGATTATTAAAGATTAATTTCTTGATTTCTTGATATTTTTTATTCCTTCTAAAGTTCTTTAAGCTTTTATACTTTCTTTAGAATAAATTTCTACAAAGACAATTGCTTGTCATTAATCTAGAACAGATCAAACTTGCCCAAAAAAGCAATTACGTTTGAAATGTCAAACAGGAGAACAATTAATACAATTAAATTATAAAATTCAACAGATTCAAACTGAGATGAACTGTCAAATACAATAAACAAAATAAAATAAAATAAAATACACAATTAAATCACAGCAAAATATCATGAAACAAAATACGGAAGAAGTAGGACAAATAAGGAACCAAAAAAAAAAGTACAACAATTGAGACCCAGACCCAACAATTGACACACCGATCAGTGGTTTTGACTCGAATCTGATTGGGTCTGACAGAAGACAGAACCATTGGCCGAGACCTTTGGAACACTTTTGTACAATCAGACTTAGACCAAATCACACCAAACTTTGTATGTACCTTAAAGAACATCAGAGACATGTACCATTCCAATTTAAAGATTTGTTAACATAATAGAATCACCAGAAAAACCGCGAAAGAGAACGAAAAAGCGAACCAAAACAAACATGCACACATGACAGCATCTAGTTGGGGATATGGTGTAGGCAAAAGATTTTTATTTTTATTAGATGACTTATAAGACTGATCCCTATGGGGCAAATGTCTAGTCATAAGAGCAGTGAGAGTAAGGAAAACTAACACTAGAACAAAGAATACAAAAAAAAACAATCATAAAGATTGAAAAAAGTGAAAGAAACTCCAATAGGAAGAAATATAAAAGGAAAAGAAAAAATAAAAAGTGACTCAAACTACACCCAGATAGGTGTAGAGAGAGGAGGCAACAGGAGGAGCAACCGGCTTGTAAAAGATAGGGAGCAACCATTCCAATAGAACAAGACCAGAGGTGATCTGAGAACAGGGACTGAACTCAGCGTCAGGAAGACAGATCATATCCATCTCCAGCATGATCTCACAGAGAGTTGGCCACCAGGAGGACCAGCGCACGAGAGAGGCAGAATGACGTTGGTCATTTGGAGATGGTGGAGAGCCGAGCCGAGGTAGCTGATTCAGCACAAAATCTAGAGGATTTGGCTGAGCATCAGCAGCAACACCAAGACGAGAGGCAACAGAGAGGCAAGAGAGCAAGTGGTTACGCGAGGCGTGTGGATGACCACAACGACAAGGCACAGGACGAGCAGGGAGCCAACCCATCTTCCACCGAAGTAGACGACTACGTTCCCATATAGTCATCGGGAGCAGGAGAATGGGTCAATGCCCAAAGAGGGACGACAAGCACGCAAGAGAACAAGCCCATCAGGTCTAGCCAGAAGACCAGCCAAGTAGGCACGACGATAATGCCTGATGGCAGGCTTGGTATCACCACCAGAGGTAGCAATCCACTGCTGCAAAGAGGCAAAGCGAGGGACAGAAGGAGAGACAGAAGAGTGGCAGACCAGCTTCCAGATGAGGTTGTTCTTCAACAACTTGGGCCGCCGGAAGCGAGGAGTAGCAGGAGCAGAGGCGATATGCTGTAGCATAGCCGAGATAAGAGTATCAGGCGGCAGCTGTTGCATGCGCACCAACATCTTGAAGCCAAGAATGGCAACACGCTCCTTCATAGAAGGCAAGTGGGCCAAATGCTTGAACACCACTGTAGACGCCTTCGAATGACCGCCAAAAGCAAGTCGGAGACACTGATCTTGGGCACGCTCAATTACCTTGAGATCACGGACCAAGAGAGAAGAGATAGCAAGGCCATACTCCAACTTTGGCCGGATGAAGGTGGCATACAACCGAGCAGAGGTCAGGCGAGAGAAACCAGTCGAGTGTACACCCAACGGTTGTAGACCAGAACGCATAGCCACCATGGCAGAGCGAGCATTGCGTTGGACCAACAGAGTAGCATCTAACTGTGCCTTGCTATTGAAGGGCAAGCCCAAATAGTCAAAAGACTCGGCAACAGGAAGAGCAGCGCCATACAGCCGGAGAGGAGAAACGCGACCAGAGGGGGTGGATTGACCACAACGCATTTGGAGGGGTTCCACCTAAACCCAAGCGACAAGGAGTATTCTTCGGCCTTCTTGAGCAGGCGAGGCATCGTCTCAGCAGTACCAATCAACACCACATCGTCCGCATAGAGCAGTGAGTTGATCCAGAGGCCATCATACTTGCGTTGAGGCATGGATCCAAACACACGCGAGCGGGGCAGAGAAACAGAGCGCAGAGCAGCAGGGAACGAGTTAATGTACACAGAGTACAAGTAAGGGGACAGGATAGAGCCTTGCAAGACCCCCGTACCAGGCCAGAAGGAAGGAGAGCGAGCACCAGACATCAAGACCTCCACCTGAACATTGTCAAAAAGACAACGAAGCAGACCAAGCAGAGGATCAGAGACATAGGTCTCAAGAGCACGCCAGACAACGTTGCGGTCCACGCTATCGTATGCTTGCTTGATGTCCAAGAAACATAGGACAGGAGGTTCACCAAAGTGATCATCAGCGTGCTGACGACACAACTCATGTAGAGACAAGGCTTGATCAAGAGTGCCACGATTGGCACGGAAGCCACCTTGTACGATGTCCAATGGAGGACCAGAGTCCAACAGGTCAGGGTATAGACACAGCTCCATCAGCTTGCGCATGACCGAAGTCAAGCTAATTGGCCGATAGTTGGCTGCATCAAGAGGGTCACCTTTCTTGTAGATGGGCACCACCTGAGCAGTACACCAATCATTAGGTACTCGAGACCAGAACCAGCAAAGAGAAAAGAGCAAGACCAAGAGAGGAGACAAGTCATCCACAATGGGCAACAGCATCTCAGTACGCAGATGGTCGACACCAGGAGCCTTACGACGAGAGAGCTTCTTCTTGATAGTGTCAGACACTAGCTCGACCGTAAAGGGACACCCATCATCCATATCAGCATCAGCACCAGCGCCACCAGAGGGAAGAGAAAAAGACAGAGCAAGACCAAACTGCGACTGCAGATACCGAGCGGTATGGACAGAGACACAGGGACCAGAGGGAAAAGGAGGAGCAGACGGACGGACAGAGGGTAGGTGATCACCTGCAAACACCGAGCGAAGATGACTGGACATCACCGTAGCAGCCACAGCAGGACCTTCTGGGTGAGAGAACCCAGGAGAAGTAGTGCGACTACGACGCAACCGTTTGATGGTGGCCGTGGTGTCAGAGAAAGAGCCAGAAGAAAGCTTGTCACAGAACTGCTTCCATGTCTCACGACGACGACGCTTGAGCTCAGCATTGAACCGGTCACAGCAGAAGAGATATCACTATGGCGGAAAAGTTAGTTACAAAACGTACAATTTTAGTTCGCAAAATTACCAATTTTTACAGCAAAATGGTTGTTTGAGAAATAGCTGGCATCAATTTTTCAACGTACAAAGTTGTTCGAAATGTTACCAAATTATTTGTACGCTTTTCGAACAACTTTAGTAACAAAACAACTAAATTTATTGTTCGAAAAGCGAACAATATTAGCAACAAAACAGCAATAACTTGTTTCCTTCTGGAACAACTTTGGCTACAAAACAACCAAGTTTTTTGGTGCTTTAGTTACCAACATTGTTCGTAATCTCACTTATTTTTTTTAGGATTATTAGAAATTAGGCACTTAATATAAATGGAAAAAAACGATACTTTTATTGAGAAATAGTAAAAGAAAAGAAGCACTACTTGAATCTAATAAAAACAAAAGTATACAAGCGAGGCAAGAGTGTTAAATGAGCAATTCGCTTTGCCATTCGGAATTGAGACAACACTGATAGACACAGAAAATAATTTGTATGTAGTATATGGTTTTTTTTTAATAATAAAAAAGAAAAAACCACCATCTTGCTATCCATCAAACTTACCTGACAAAGTGCATCTCTTGTACGGATAAATAGTCAATTCCTTTAGGAGGGCATTCTTTTTTGAGGAAAAAAAAGTTGGTTTTGAGTGTATTAAAGGTGTGTAATAACATATCAAACTTACTATAAATCAAGAGACAGCAAGAACTTGTTTTGGAATCTAGAAAATAAAAGGCGCTTTGTTAGCTTTCAAGTAGCAAAAATAGATTAAACATACTTTGATTTTAAATGGAAGCAGACTAATCTCATCTAAACATATAGAACAAACAAACTAATTGAATTAGAACAAGGCAATGTCAAAACTCTCTTCCAAAACAACACTCACCAGTACCAGTACCAGGCGATGTGACATTTCATGTCAAAACTTGGAACAAAAAGAAAACAAGTAGCTCTTATATGTTTACTTACACTCTAACTCTGGTTTCGACTTTTGTTTTTTATCTATATAAAGGCCCAGTAGTATATCAATTTTTGTCTATGGCTATGTTAGAGAAAAAAAGACTTTACTGCGGAAAATGCGTTCTTCCATACCAATCAAAGAGAAGCGCAGCAATTCTTCAGATTGTTAAAAAAGCGCTGGAAGTACTGTCTAATTCTTAAGATGAGTAAGCCCATGAGTCGATGTTATGCAATCATAAGGTTTCAGAGAGTTTAAGCTTCTGGATGTAGGTTGGATTTAGGAGCTGTGGACTTTATCTATAATATAAACGTTTTAAAAGAAGATGATGGAAAAAAATTGTTTTATTATTTAAGGTCGTGACTATTTTTTGTTACTTCTTCTTGTACGCTTAGACTTGGCTGATTGGCTTTTGTCTTCATTGCGTTTGCCCTTTTCTTAGGTTGAGAAGAGGGAAGAGGTGGAGAAGGAGAACAAGGACAACAGTTGTTTTCCATTCCGAAAAAAATGTCTTCTTCAGAATCCTCAAATTCATCACCACAATATAGGTTTGCGTACTCCAAAGACGGCTTTTCACTTTGAAGAGATTCAACACTAACTTGGTTTTCACTGTATAGTTTTAATTCTTGTTAGGCATTTTAAAATTTCAATGAATGCATGTTTTGCGTTTATTATACCTGATCCTTGAGTTATTCTCTCTTTCAACAACAGAAGCCTTATTTCTTGTTCTATTACTTCTGTGCTTGTGTGTTTTGAAGAGCAATAGACCGGCTGCCCAGGAATGCTGACATCTTTGAAGATGAAAGCCATGAGTAGCTGCATTGCTTTCAAGCTTAAATGTGTATTTTGCGATTAGAGCAGAAGACACTTCAGACCATAAAGGCAACACAGCTGCTTTGTCATTCTTCTTTAAAGCTTTCAGCAACTCTAACTCCATTTCATCGTGGGTATTATTTGCAATTGTTCTGAGGATCCTGTAGTCATTCTCATTTACTTTATCATCAATTAAAAGATCAGTGATATTTCTTTCTTTCTTGAATAAGTTGATCAGGGCAAGCAAACGCAACCGTGGCGTAACATATCTATGTTTTCCATGAGAGCCGAATGCTTTTGTTGCTTCCTCAAGTACTCTAGGAATGTCTCGGAAGCCCATCAATTTTAGATGAAGAGAGTGGGCAATACCGCCTTCTCTTGCTGCATTTTCCAAAAACAAATGTTTATACATATTCTAAAGACGTAGCTTGTTTTTTTTTACCTTATTGAGCTGCTTCAAGAACTTTACTGTTGATCTCATTACTATCACTTTAGGCAAAAGAGGGTGCTAATAAATGCATCAATCCATTACGTATTTGAGTCTGTGATTCGATTGTTTTTTCGAGTTGGGAAACTTGTTGTTGCATCTGAGTGGTTTTGTAGATAGTCGTTTGGTTCATATTTGTAAGACAGAAAGACAATTGCAAGAAAAACCAAAAAATTATTTTTTGCTAAAAAACCTAAACAATTGCTAAATATTCTACATAACTCGATATACTCTTTTTAGATGAGTCTCATGTCAAACTCTTAGAAGTGCATCAACGCATTGTATTGTGCAAACCCCTTTTTTTTGTTTTTTATAAGAAACATTATTAGTATTATTGTACTTGTAAGAAAAAATAAAAAATTTTTTTTACTCATAAAGCTACTATCATTGTCGCAGTACTTGTCGCTTCATAACTTTTATTGTTGACAAAACGAACAAGTTTGTTCCCCACAAACAAGAAAATCAATAATTTTGAATGATATGACTTGCTTTTTAGAAAAATAAAATAAAAGTTGTTGACATTTCGAACAACATTGGCAAAAAAGTTACTTTTTCTTGTTTGTTTTGCGAACAATATTAGTAAAGTCAAACAACTAATCCGCCATAGTGTATCGTTTCCATAGTACAGCCTTACCAACACCGTCAGAAGCTCGTTTCCAAGTTCTTCGGGCGTCCTCACGAGCATCCACCAAATGTTGCAGAGTGGCAGTCCAGAACCAGCTGTTACCAGGAGGCCGTGGTAGTTTGCGACCAACCGACTCATCGAGGCAACGGTGGATGGTATCAGTGAGTCTACTAGCAATAGAATGAACGTCAGGGATAGCCCCTTCGGTTGGAGAAGATGCGTGAGTAGAGGTACGACTGCTATGTTGCCCGTAGGCCGTTTCAATCGAATACTTAACTTCTGCCAAGAGTGTATTTTTGATCGGCGCGCTATGCAACCGGAAAAGAGACTGATACAGCTCTACACTCTTGTGATCATCCAGACAAGACAGTTTCCATAAAAGACGCGGATGAGCGACAGGAGCAGGCGGCAGAGAGCAAGGCAGAGAGCAAGAGAGAGAGACAGGAACATGGTCAGAGCCAAGCCAACATCACGCACAACCAAAGAGGGATGAACCAGATCATCAAAGCTGATGAAAAGGTCAATCACACTACTCCAGCTAGTGTGCCCAGGTTGAGCATTGGCCATGCGAGCAGCAGAGAACAAGGTAGGAACACCTTTGCCAGCAGAGAGTTCCAGCAGAAGAGACCAGCTTCTTCAACCCATTCAGCCAATCGAGTACCACGAGTGTTGCTTCGAGAGTCACCAAGAAGAGGAACACTACGTGCATTCAGATCGCCACAAATGAACGCATTGGTCTGAGAGGCATGGGTGCGAGCAGGGAGAGACATAAGAGAGACATAAACTCATCATCGGTCAAGGAAGGAGGGGCATAGACACAATGAATGAGAAAGGTAGAAACCTGGCAGGAAAAGACATAAGGAGAGGAGGACGGAAGAGGAGTACAGGATAGGACAAGAGGGATTGACCAAAAGAGAGATACCCATCTTGCCACGGAAAGAGTCAGCAACAGGTTGACCATAGGTGTGGTACTGTTGCCAAGAGGTAGGGAAGCGGAGAGGAGGAAGAAGCCAGGTTTCGGTGATGAAAATGAGTGAGGAGTCATAGAGGTAGTCGGTAACAGTGCTAATGGCTTGACGAGCAATACCATTAGCATTCCATATAGTCATGGTGAAGTCATAGGAGAAGGAGAGGAAGGGGGCATAGAAGCATAAGGAGCCATAGGTACCTCACTCATTAAGAGGAGGAGACCGGTTCACCATCACCGGCCAAGGTAAAATCCATACTGGAAGGAGAGACAGAGGGAGCGTCAGCACCAGCACCAGCACCAGCCACAGCGGAGAGAGGACCAACCACGGAGCCAGCTTGTTCTTTCGACAACCAGCCTTGACGGACAAAGTCGTAGGCCACCTGTCTACGTACTTGTTCTCTGATGAATCCCAGAGCACGGACAAGACGAGCTTGCTGCAACTCGCGTGCTTTGGCAGAGAGAGCATCAGCATCCAAAGACGCAAACGCAGGATCCTTGACGTTGGCCGCAGAGAAAGGATCAAAGTCAGTCAAGACCGGAAGCGAGTACTTGGCCATGACCTTCAGGAGATCCTCCTTGTAGCCGAATGGATCAGCAAGGCTACGACGTTACGAGCCGGATAGTGCACATCAAGTACACGGCTGTTATCCAGCCCGATCAGTCGCAGCTTGCGGCGGAAGGCGGAGAGACGGTCACGGTACTTGTTGGCAAGTAGACTACTCATAAAGAGGCCGTCTACACAAGTACCAGCAGCAGCAGGAGAAGAACGAGAAAGATACGGGCAGCGGCCTTACGTTGCTTAGGCGTGATCTGCCTTGGTTTGGCCTTGGCAACAGGAGAGAGTCGGACTTTTGGACTTACCAAAGGCCTCCGCAGGCGTAGGGTTCTCTGGCAACTTGAGCCCACTTGGAGCCAGCAGCAGAAGGCGAGACAGAAGAAGAGGGAGCAGCAACCAGATCATCTCCATGCACTCCAAGGAGAGGCAGCAGATGAGCCAGCTTGGACTCAAGCTCCAAGATTCTGGAACGGGCGGCAGCCAGCTCCTTCTTGAGAGCAGAGTTCTCGCGACCAGGACTCCAGTTGGCCAAACGCTCCTCATGCGCTCAAACTTGGCCTGGAAAGCAGCAAACCAAGCAGGAGGAGAAGAGAGAGAGAAGAAACCGAAGGACAGAAGAGAGCAAAGCAACATTACTACTTCTGGTAAAGAGTCAACACCAGAGCAAGAGGGGGAACAGAAACACCAAAGTCAAAGACAACGTCTTTGTCGAGATCGAGATGAGCTGATCTCGAAGGGGTGCTGACGTCACCAACTCGAGATCGCGACAGGGTACGCGTCATGTCAGCAGGGATCAGAGATGGAGAAAGAGGAAAATCAACCGCTTACCGGATCGGGTTAAAATTTTACCAGAGTTTTAGTGCTTGAAGAAAGAGGTTCTGACAAAGTTTGAGCTTTGTCTGGTAACTGGTTCTTGGTAGATGACGATCTAATGTCGAGATGATGTTGTTGCGATGTCGAAATGAGGGGAATCGCGGTAGTGAATGTGCTAGAGTTGTCGGACTGGGACGTTTTTGGTACCAAAATGTGCGTAAAATATGCAAAGTTGGAATAAAAAAAGAAAAACGCGGTTTAATAGGACAGGTGCAGAGATTTTTTCAAAAACAGCAAGTGAATTGAAAAAATAATAAAAACCGGAGAAAAAGGTGGTTTCTTGGTGTAGGCAAAAGATTTTATTTTTATTAGAATGACTTGTAAGACTGATCCCTATGGGGGCAAATGTCTAGTCATAAGAGCAGTGAAGAGTAAGGAAAACTAACATAGGAACAAAGAATACAAAAAAATAAAGAGCAGATAGTAAAATCACTGAACAAGAATACAAAAAAAAAATAAAAGAAAAAAAAAAAAAAAAAAAAAAAAAAAAAAAAAAAAAAGTGACTCAAACTACACCAGATAGGTGTAGAGAGAGGAACAGGAGGAGCAACGCTTAAAAGACAGGAGCAACCATTCCAGAAGGTAAGACCAAGTGACTGAGACAGGACTGAACTCAGCGTCAGGAAGACAGATCATTCCATCTCCAGCATGATCTCACAGAGAGTTGGCCACCAGGAGGACCAGCGCACGAGAGAGCAGAATGACGTTGGTCATTTGGAGATGGGGAGAGCCGAGCCGAGGTAGCTGATTCAGCACAAATCCAGAGGATTTGGCTGAGCATCAGCAGCAACACCAAGACGAGAGGCAACAGAGAGGCAAGAGAGCAAGTGGTACGCGAGCGTGTGGATGACCACAACGACAAGGCACAGGACGAGCAGGGAGCCAACCCATCTTCCACCGAAGTAGACGACTACGTTCCCACACAGTCATCGGAGCAGGAGGATGGGGTCAATGCCCAAGAGGGACGACAAGCACGCAAGAGAACAAGGCCATCAGGTCTAGCCAGAAGACCAGCCAAGTAGGCACGACGATAATGCCTGATGGCAGGCTTGGGATCACCACCAGAGGTAGCAATCCACTGCTGCAAAGAGGCAAAGCGAGGGACAGAAGGAGAGACAGAAGAGTGGCAGACCAGCTTCCAGATGAGGTTGTTCTTCAACAACTTGGGCCACCGGAAGCGAGGAGCAGCAGGAGCAGAGGCGATATGCTGTAGCATAGCCGAATAAGAGTATCAGGTGGCAGCTGTTGCATACGCACCAACATCTTGAAGCCAAGGATGGCAACACGCTCCTTCATAGAAGGCAAGTGGGTCAAATGCTTGAACACCACTGTAGACGCCTTCGAGTGACCGCCAAAAGCAAGTCGGAGACACTGGTCTTGAGCACGCTCAATCACCTTGAGGTCGCGCACCAAGAGAGAAGAGATAGCAAGGCCATACTCCAACTTTGGCCGTATGAAAGTGGCATACAACCGAGCAGAGGTCAACGGGAAAAGCCAGTTGAGTGGACACCCAACGGTTGTAGACCAGAACGCATAGCCACCATGGCAGAGCGAGCATTACGCTGGACCAACAGGGTAGCATCTAGTGAGCTTTGCTATTGAAGGGCAAGCCCAAATAGTCAAAAGACTCGGCAACAGGAAGAGCAGCGCCATACAACCGGAGGGAAGAAAAGCGACCAGAGGGGGGTGGATTAACCACAACGCACTTGGAAGGGTTCCACCTGAACCCAAGCGACAGAGAGTATTCTTCGGCCTTCTTCAGCAGGCGAGGCATCGTCTCAGCAGTGCCAATCAACACCACATCGTCTGCATAGAGCAGTGAGTTGATCCAGAGGCCATCATATTGCGTTGAGGCATGGATCCAAACACACGCGAGCGAGGCAGAGAGACAGATCGCAGAGCAGCAGGGAACGAGTTGATGTACACAGAGTACAAGTACGGAGACAGGATAGAGCCTTGCAAGACCCCCGTACCAGGCCAGAAGGAAGGAGAGCGAGCACCAGACACCAAGACCTCCACCTGCACATTGTCAAAAAGACAACGAAGCAGACCAAGCAGAGGATCAGAGACATAGGTCTCAAGAGCACGCCAGACAACGTTGCGGTCCACGCTATCGTATGCTTGCTTGATGTCCAAGAAACATAGGACAGGAGGTTCACCAAAGTGATCATCAGCGTGCTGACGACACAACTCATGTAGAGACAAGGCTTGATCAAGAGTGCCACGATTGGCACGGAAGCCACCTTGCACTATGTCCAATGGGGACCAGAGTCCAACAGGTCAGGGTATAGACACAGCTCCATCAGCTTGCGCATGACCGAAGTCAAGCTAATTGGCCGATAGTTGGCTGCATCAAGAGGGTCACCTTTCTTGTAGATGGGCACCACCTGGGCAGTACACCAATCAGAGGACCGAGACCAGAACCAGCAAAGAGAAAAGAGCAAGACCAAGAGAGGAGACAAGTCATCAACAATGGGCAACAGCATCTCAGTACGCAGATGGTCGACACCAGGAGCCTTACGGCGAGAGAGCTTCTCTTGATAGTGTCAGACACTAGCTCGACCGTAAAGGGACACCCATCATCAACATCAGCATTAGCACCAGCGCCACCAGAGGGAAGAGAAAAGACAGAGCAAGACCAAACTGCGACTGCAGATACCGAGCGGTATGAAGAGACACATGGACCAGATGGCAGAGGAGGAGCAGACGGACGAACAGAAGGCAAGTGATCACCAGCAAACACCGAGCGAAGATGACTGGACATCACCGTAGCAGCCACAGCAGGACCTTCTGGGTGAGAGAATCCAGGAGAAGTAGTCCGACTACGACGCAACCGCTTGATGGTGGCCGTGGTGTCAGAGAAAGAACCAGAAGAAAGCTTGTCACAGAACTGCTTCCATGTCTCACGACGACGACGCTTGAGCTCAGCATTGAACTGGTCACAGCAGAAGAGATATCGTTTCCATAGTACAGCCTTACCAACACCGTCAGAAGCTCGTTTCCAAGTTCTTCGGGCGTCCTCACGAGCATCCACCAAATGTTGCAGAGTGGCAGTCCAGAACCAGCTGTTACCAGGAGGCCGTGGTAGTTTGCGACCAACCGACTCATCGAGGCAACGGTGGATGGTATCAGTGAGTCTACTAGCAATAGAATGAACGTCAGGGATAGCCCCTTCGGTTGGAGAAGATGCGTGAGTAGAGGTACGACTGCTATGTTGCCCGTAGGCCGTTTCAATCGAATACTTAACTTCTGCCAAGAGTGTATTTTTGATCGGCGCGCTATGCAACCGGAAAAGAGACTGATACAGCTCTACACTCTTGTGATCATCCAGACAAGACAGTTTCCATAAAAGACGCGGATGAGCGACAGGAGCAGGCGGCAGAGAGCCAGGCAGAGAGCAAGAGAGAGAGACAGGAACATGGTCAGAGCCAAGGCCAACATCACGCACAACCAAAGAGGGATGGACCAGATCATCAAAGCTGATGAACAGGTCAATCACACTACTCCAGCTAGTGTGCCCAGGTTGAGCATTGGCCATGCGAGCAGCAGAGAACAAGGTAGGAACACCTCTGGCCAGCAGAGAGTTCCAGCAGAAGAGACCAGCTTCTTCAACCCATTCAGCCAATCGAGTACCACGAGTGTTGCTTCGAGAGTCACCAAGAAGGGAACACTACGTGCATTCAGATCGCCACAAATGAACGCATTGGTCTGAGAGGCATGGGTGCGATCAGGGAGAGACATAAGGAGAGACATAAACTCATCATCGGTCAAGGAAGGAGGGGCATAGACACAATGAATGAGAAAGGTGGAAACCTGGCAGGAAAAGACATAAGGAGAGGAGGACGGAAGAGGAGTAACAGGATAAGGACAAGAGGGATTGACCAAAAGAGAGATACCCATCTTGCCACGGAAAGAGTCAGCAACAGGTTGCCCATAGGTGTGATACTGTTGCCAAGAGGTAGGGAAGCGGAGAGGAGGAAGAAGCCAGGTTTCGGTGATGAAAATCAGGGAAGAGTCATAGAGGTAGTCGGTTACAGTGCTAATGGCTTGACGAGCAATACCATTAGCATTCCATATGGTCATGGTGAAGTCATAGGAAGAAGGAGAGGAAGGGGGCATAGAAGCATAAGGAGCCATAGGTACCTCACTCATTAAGAGGAGGAGACCGGTTCACCATCACCGGCCAAGGTAAAATCCATACTGGAAGCAGAGACAGAGGGAGCGTCAGCACCAGCACCAGCACCAGCACCAGCCACAGCGGAGAGAGAACCAACCACGGAGCCAGCTTGCTCCTTGGTCAGCCAACCTTGACGGACAAAGTCGTAGGCCACCTGTCTACGAACCTGTTCACGGATGTAGCCAAGAGCACGAACAAGACGAGCTTGCTGCAACTCGCGTGCTTTGGCAGAGAGAGCATCAGCATCCAAAGACGCAAAGGCAGGATCCTTGACGTTGGCCGCAGAGAAAGGATCAAAGTCAGTCAAGACCGGAAGCGAGTACTTGGCCATGACCTTAAGGAGATCCTCCTTATAGGCCGAATGGATCAACAAGGCTACGACGTTACGAGCCGGATAGTGCACATCAAGTACACGGCTGTTATCCAGCCCGATCAGTCGCAGCTTGCGGCGGAAGGCGGAGAGACGGTCACGGTACTTGTTTGGCAAGTAGACGTATTCAAAGCGAGGACCATCTACTCCGGTACCAGCGACAGAAGAAGAAACCAAAAAGATACGGGCAGCGGCCTTGCGTTGCTTAGGAGTGATCCTAGCCTTGGGTTTGGCCTTGGCAACCGAAGGGGAGTCGGACTTCTTAGACTTACCAAAGGCCTCCGCAGGCGTAGGGTTCCTCTTGGCAACTTGAGCCCACTTGGAGCCAGCAGCAGAAGGCGAGACAGAAGAAGAGGGAGCAGCAACCAGATCATTCTCCAAGGGAGAGGCAGTGGACGAGCCAGCTTGGGACTCAAGCTCCAAGATTCTAGAACGGGCGGCAGCCAGCTCCTTCTTGAGGGCAGAGTTCTCGGCGACCAGGGACTCCAGTTGGGCCAAGCGCTCCTCATGGCGCTCAAACTTGGCCTGGAAAGCAGCAAACCAAGCAGGAGGGGAAGGAGAGAGAGAAGAAACCGAAGGGACCGAAGAGAGCAAAGCAACATTACCTACTTCTGGTAAAGAGTCAACACCAGAGCAAGAAGGGGGAACAGAAACACCAAAGTCAAAGACAACGTCTTTGTCGAGATCGAGATGAGCTGATCTCGAAGGGGTGCTGACGTCATCAACTCGAGATCGAGGCAGGGTACGCGTCATGTCAGCAGGGATCAGTGATGGCGAAAGTGAACTATGCAGCCGCTTACCTGATCGGGTTAAAATTTTACCAGTAGTTTTGGTAATTGAAGAAAGAGGTTCTGACAAAGTTTGAGCTTTGTCTGGTAACTGGTTGTTTGTAGATGACGATCTAATGTCGAGATGATGTTGTTGCGATGTCGAAATGAGGGGAATCGCGGTAGTGAATGTGCTAGAGTTGTCGGACTGGGACGTTTTTGGTACCAAAATGTGCGTAGAAATTTGCAAAGTTGGAATAAAAAAAGAAAAACGCGGTTTAATAGGCCAGGTGCAGAGATTTTTTCAAAAACAGCAAGTGTATTTGAAAAAAATAATAAAAACCGGTTTCTTGGTGTAGTCGGTTATCACGTCTGCTTAACACGCAGACGGTCGGCGGTTCGAGTCCGCCAGAAATCACTCTTTTAAAAAAATCCTTTTTTTTTTTTTTTTTTTGCAAGAAACCTGTTTAGTCTATTCTTCTTGATTAATACAATGGCAAATTAGTCTGTGTGTAAAAATCAAGGAGGTGAACAAACAAGTTTTCATGTACAGGATTTTATTAACGAATATATTAATAACTATGCAACGGTCTTGCGCTTATATGTGAGACCTGCGTGGAGCGAATGCTTTCATTACCGCTATCTTCTTCAAGGTGATGTTCTTTACTGTTAGCGCTTAGTTTACTATCACGGTCAATTTGAACAGATCCAAAATCAGCAAATTTAGGCTTGTCACTTATGGGATTAGGTTCAGCGTCAAAAGTAAGTTCTGCAGACATATGATCTGCAGTATGAAACGTTTTCTTGTTACCAAGACCACCACTTTTACTGCTTTCCTTGTGGTTTGTTGTAACCTAAAATAGAACAATAGACTCAATACATTTTGTCACAAACTATGTTATTTCTTACCCAGTGTACCGTAGCCGCGTTAATCTATACGATCGAGTAATGTTCAGTATGCCTGTAAAGCCAGTAAGATTTGTATAAACTTACTGTCACATCGACTGTACACATGGTAAGACAAACAAGACCTCTTTCGTGCCCGTGTGTAATCACAACAACAAGCACGTTAGCAAAAGAAATCAACAAGGATACAACAGATGCTACTAGGGTTCTTCTTGCGAGCTTATACAGTCGAGTTCGTTTCCAGTTAGTTCTTGAGCTAAGGCCAATGTTCATCAAAGGAGCCATAAATAGCCAAGTAAGGTAGAGATTCAGAATCTATGAATGTTATCAGTTTACGAGTACTATACCCCCTTATTATTTTTATGCATAAGAACACTTACAAAGTCATAAATCTAAAAAAAAAAAAAGGGAATTGTAAATACATGTAGAGATGATCATGATAAACTCACCAATAAGGGTACACTTGCAATCAGTTGCAAACCAATAGTGCATTTGCCATCAGACTCTAAATAAATATTTCTATATGTCAACATGAGAGCAAAAATAATAATATAGGGACACAGTAAGACAAGATGAAATCGATATTGACATGTTCTTAAGCGAGCAGTTTTGACAGCAGTGACCAAATAGATACGTTCAATTAACCATGCATAAACTACGATTTTACTACCGGCATAAAAAATATCACAAGAAAGCATGCCCAATGTACAAGAGACCATATTATCTATACAATATGTTTAGGTATTTGATAGCTCTTTTTTTTTCAGCTTACTATTATTTGTAGAGACAACAACTACAGATGTTGTAGCAAAGGCCCAAGATACTAAATACAGAAAAATGACCATGAAACGGCCATAATTGATAGTCTTAATTCGTTCCCCAGAGGTCTTGGATCCAATAGCAGTAGCTAGTACAGTGATACAGAGTAAAGAAATTAATTCGGAAACAATTTCTAGCACATCAGGACCAACAATGCCATAGTCGACTTGGATTGGAGCTGAACTTTCTACCATTTTACAAAGAAAAAGTGAAAAAAAGGGAAGAAAGTAAATAAAGATAACGTTGCACTGTTTATATTTAAAATACCAGCATTAAAAGCAGGTTTTTTTTCTCTCTCTCCTTAAAGACAGAAAAAAAAATATTGTCGTACACATTAGGAGACAATACTTTAGGGGGGATTGCTGAATACACACGTCCATTTATTTTGTCATTATAGTTATTTTTTCTTATTAGATGCCTTCTTTTCTTGTTCTTCCATCTTTAACAATTCCTCTTCTGCCTTCTTTGCCTCTTTTTCGCGTCTTTCTTGCTCTTTAAATTCATATTCCTTTGCTTCCTTTGCCTCTCTTTCATCTTGTTTCTTTTTGCGCAAAGTCTCTTGTTCCAGCATTGTCTTCATATCTTGTTGCATTTGCTTTTGTTTTTCATGTTCTAGCATTTGTGCAGCTGTACTGAAGATAGTTTGACCCCAATTCTCTTTAAATGTATTGGCTTCCACAGCAATTTCCTGTAATTCAGCAGTGATTTCTTGTTCTGCAACATTGAATTCACGCCACAGATCATCGCCAATACTACCTGTCTTCATTAATTGTTGAAGGGCGGGCTTTTCTTGTTGAACTTGGACAAGACGACGCACAGCTTCCATAGCACGGCGCAAGAGTGCAGCACGCAAATGATGTTCAGGTACAGCTGGATCACAGTTCAAGAGTGTAATATATTCTTCTTTCTGAGTGTTGATAGGAAACCAAGCTTCATAAGACTGGATCACTACAAGAGTTGTTAGTCAAGATGATCAACACTTCTCTTTTTTTTTTTTTTTTTTTTTTTTTTTACTTACTTGTAGCTCTACGGTACACATAAGAGAAGGCACTCATAGCAGCAATACAGCCACCAAGGTAAATAGTTGGCAATAATAAGGAACTCATATTTTGTATTAAACTAAAGAAAGAAAGAGAAATAAAAAAAAGATAAAGAGAACATGTATAAAACAAATGATGTATTGAGATTTGATTGGCCAATTAATTTGAGAAACAAAGCTTTGAAAGCCTTTATTACAACATGTATTTACTCGCCTAATAACCATTCTACAATGGCTGTTTCTTCTTGTTCGTCCCATTCATCATCTTGAAGAAACCATTCTTCGTCACCATCAATAAGTCCATGCTCGTCTTCATCATCGTTATCTTCTTTTTGCTTACGTTTCTGTTTGGCTTTATCATCAATAGGATCTGTTTGGATACCTTGATCTACCCCTTTTGGACGGGACAAGAGTACAGAGTTTCTTGCTTTGGGTCCACTGCTGGTAAACACACCTGATTTTCTTTCAATAGCAGAAGGGTCCTGCTGCAAATACAAAAAGCGTTCTCGACGAGGCATATGAGAGACGCGTTGATGTGCCACATCGTCCAGCGAGGAAGCACGTTCAAACTTGAGTACTTTGTCTAAAATAGTGTTGCTGTTGGAAGCATTGGGGTTATGGTAAAGAGAATTCAAAGGAGGTGGAGGAAGTTGACCTTGTTGTTCCAACATCTCTTGTTGTTCTTTCAATTGCTGTTGGCGCAATTGTCTAAGTACTGAGCGACGATGAGAACCAGGTGGCATTAGATCTGGTTGTTGTTCCCCAGGCTTAAGGATGTCATCCCATTGTTTGACAGAGACACTGACTGAGCCGACCGCAGGCATACGTTGACGTACTAAAATGTCTTGGTGCTTTTCGGCAGCGTAGCTTTCATGCAAAGAACGACGACGACTGTTGCCAACCATAGATGCACGCTTGGCTACCATACTCGAAGGACGTTCAAGTGTATCGCTCTCTTTTATACGAGACATAACAGTATCAGGTGGCCCTTGTGTTTTGCTTTCTTTGGCATCTTCTGGTATGGGTTGAGGTTCCTCTGACAACACTTGCTTTTCTTCTTCAACCACTTCTTCTCGTTCCTTTTTAGAAGGAGGAACAGGAGAGAGAGGAATATCTGTAGGTGGTGTAGGCAAAGGTTCATCTATCAAGGCTTGTTGCTTTTCACCTTCTTCTTTCAATTTGCGCAAGTTTTCTCGACTCTTTCTACTACTTACACTACTACGGCGAATGACCATTCCGTTTGTGTTGATAGGAGTAGCATTTTTGGAGGGTTTAGGCAAAGGTGGCTGCTCTAGAGAAGAGATGGTGCTCTTGACTGAAGCTGTTGTAGCCAAAGTGGTGCTACTGGGTGCTGAAGAAGTATCTGACACAATGGATCCATTGCTTTGGACAGAAGAAATGCTGCTTGGTTTGGTATCCATGGCTTCTGGTGTAGAAGGCAGCTTAGGCAAAGGCGCTGTAACCTTGGCCTTGATAGAATCATGTCTTGTCATAGGAGCTGCTAAGGGGATGGTGGCAGGAACCGTAGGATCTGCAGCCATGGGCGGTTTAGGTGCTTCACGAGGACTTTCAAATCGGTTGGCTTCATTCACTGTAAATGTACTTCTGCCAAGTGAAGAAGGTGTTTGAGGACGAGTATTCACTTTGGGAACTTCCATCTCCTCATGCTTCTTTTGGACACTTGAGCTATTTTGACGTGACAAAGGAGATGTGGGCTTTGTGATGTTAGCTGCTGATAATCGAGGAGAAGAGATAGACCTACGTTCCCAGGTCAGGGGGTGTCTTCCTCTTTGGTCTGGTCCTTGACCTCAATGGATCTTAAGCGGTTTGGTGTCAATGATACTTTGACAGTTCCACCTGATTTTATCAAATCTTCAAAGTTTAGATTCATGGGCGTATCTGGGTCATACACAGTGCTTGGGTCGGGCGAAGAAGCACGTGGTAGCACATCCGTACTGAACGAGTTACGGTTATTTTTAAACAAGTGAAAAGTGGACTTTCTATTGTTGTTTGTGTAATTAGATATAATCGACTGAGGTCGTGATTGTTCAGGCACTCTGGACTGAACTGACATGGTGCTCTTGCGGGGATTTTGTTCAAGGTAGTCCAAATCAAGGTCGTCAAATGTGATGTCCAAAAATGAACCAGTTTCAGCTGTGTAACAGGTAATTAATAACAAAAGAATAAGACAGCAAATAATACTTGCGATTCTGTTGATCAACTGGAACACTCTTTCTGTTTTGCTGAGGTAATTTATTCAAGAATCCTGCTCGTTTCTATCAACTATGAATATAACATCATTATATAGTTGCATTTACCCCCATTTTGTCTTTTAGATCCATACGTCCAAACACATTGCCTAGCTGGACATCATCTACTAAAGCAAGAAACACTTCCTTGACACGCACATAGTCTGTATCTTCATGTTCTGCTGACATTGCCACTGCCGTCAATAAATATTCTGCAATATGCTCCATGACTGTTGTGACATAAATAGCTACAATAGGTGAAATGATCACATTCATGTCCAGTTCATTTCTTTTCTGACGAATAGAATTCTGCAAATAAAGCTGATCCTCCTTGTCTGCTAAAGTACAGTATTCAAAGCATTTCTCTCTCAACAAGGGCAATGCTTCACTTAATGGAAATTCACTTCCACTGAAATTCCGCATACGCTCATACAGTTCATAATCAATTGACTCGGTTTCCGTAAATGTCTTTACTTCTAGCTCAGCTTCTACAATAGCGTTTTTTCCCAATGTAGAAGGTAGCAAATTAAATACGACAGATTTGATTTGTGAAAGGTCGAGCGATAATGAAGATGTTAATAACAAGACTATAAATTCATCGAGAAATTGGTTAATAGCCTGTAAAGCGTCAGTTGAAACACGGTAAGGCCCGATCTCGGAGATGATGGCGTTGGCAGCTCTTTGACAAATATAGTGTTCATCTAGATGACAAAGTTCAGTTAAACTTATAGTTTATGACAAGAGTACCTAAAGTCATTATTTGTGACGCGATATTAAGCAACAATAAAGAAGGAAGAGGGGAGGGGAATTAAGTGGGATATATATATATATATGAATATTATCAAATGTATAAAGCAGTTTTCTAGTATTAAAGGAATTAAATGTATGTATGCATAAGAAAGTTAGCAAAAAGAAGAAAAGAAGAAAAGAGAAAAAGACTTGATCTTTTTATCTCTACGGGGTTTTAATGGTGCACATTATTTTTAGTTTGTCAAACACTCTGGGTATACTCGCTGTAGTCTACGTGCTCCCTTTCTTTTTTCAAACTAATTGTATGCTGCCTATTCAACGTATGGATCAGTTTGAGAGGAGACATGGCCAGAATGTAGTACGAAGATACTAACTCATCATTATGAAAAGATACCAAGGTGTACCTGAAAGTGGAATTTCAAAAATGCACAAGTATATTTCCTGCAAGCAAAAATAGATACATGAAGAATCCCTTTTTGCTGTAATGTTTGTAATTGCACCTTTTTTAACAAGCAACATATCTAAATCGTCTAAAAGTACAGAAAAAAGAAACTAGCCCGCTTATTGTACGAATTCTGATAAAAGGCCAAAAGACATGCTCTGCTTTTCTAATTATGGTGCACAATGAGTGTATTTGAGTCTAATGTGTTTTATTGCTTCAAGACTCTGGAGTATCATGATTAAATGATAAAAAAAAAAATAGACTAACAAAACTTGATTTTTCTTTTTTTATCATAAAAATTTTCAAGCATGTCAGACATTGAGGCAGACGGTTTATTAGGTTTCGACTTTGATGACGAAGACTTTGTAACAAAAGAAAAAGAAAAGATCAACATTTCTCAAGTTGATTACGATGCCAAAGTAGAGACGGATGGTGTAAGGAAATCAGAATGAGACTTGCTTGATATTTATTTCTCTATAGTGGTTTCACAATCATGACAAGACGATCGATCAACTCATGTTAGAGCAACATGGTCCCAATCAAGTCAGAAATGCTATTGAACACGATTACTTTTATAAGCGGTATGATCGTGCTTTGACTTCTGCACTCGGATTCATACGGGTTGCTCAAACGAATAAAGAATGCAAAGTCTCGGGCACAAAAGAAATGTCAGAGATTGCTATACACTGTGCTGCTAAATTAAACAGACTTGATGTATTAGAGGAATTGCTCAACAACAAATCAGTAAGTCATCTACGTACCATTCTGCGTGTCTCATAGCCAGTATAGCATACACAAGATACAGGTCTTTTTTTGCTTAGAGGCAAGTTTTACCCTTTGATTGGAAGATATACAGAAGCCATAGAGGCTTATATGCAGTATCAAAGAGAACGCAAGTTAGATTATGGCGTATGGTCTGGTATGGCCACTGTATTTATGCTTTCTGCAGCAAGAAATCCAACTGAAAAAGACATGCGGTATCATTTAGCCAACCTCTCTATGCATCGTGCGATACATATCTTTACTACAAGTCGTTGGAACAAGAGTATCGATTTTGTCAAAGCTAGATTTGAAAGAGACCTCAAAGCTCTTCAGGCTTGCTTAAGAGAAACAGAAAAACACGGTGGTCATGCTGACCAGTTTGTTCATTGGATGGCTGCAGGCAATCCTGAAAAGGAACAGGCAGGTTTAGAAGAATTCAGTTGGGATGATATGGTATGGATCTATAAAGACTGGGTTTTGAGACAAGACCTTGACTTGGTAGACAATGATATAAAGGCAGTCAAAGATTTATAGCATGTATCACTTTAATATATACTTTTTTTAAAGACAATAATAAACAAACAAGTGCTTTTTTTATTGAGAATAAACCTTATTCGGCTGCTGGCTTTGTTTCTTCGCCCTTATCAGCTTCTCCTGTAAGAGTATTGTAAGATACAATACATCATAATCTCTTTCTTTCTTATACATTACCTTCTTGAAGATCTGAAGTCCATAAAGTCAGATTGTCTCTTAATAACTGCATAATAAGGGTCGAGTCCTTGTAAGATTCTTCACTTAGAGTGTCCAATTCAGCAATAGCATCATCAAAGGCTTGTTTTGCCAAGTGACAAGCACGATCGGGTGAGTTTAGAATCTCATAATAAAAGACAGAGAAATTTAGAGCAAGACCGAGACGAATAGGGTGTGTTGTGGCCAATTCGACCTGGGCAACGTCTGTAGCTGACTTATAGGCTTCATGAGCAGCTGTAGCAGCATCTTTGCGTGCTTCACCTGTAGCGTATTCAGCAACATAACGATGATAGTCACCCTTCATCTTGTAATAAAACACCTTGGCTTCCCCATCTTGTGCGGAGGGAATCAAATGGTCAGACAATAAGCTAAGAATGTCACTACAGACATCGTAGAGTTCCTGTTCAATCTTGTTTCGGTATTCTTTGATTTTTGTAACTTGGGCTTCATGGCCTTTGACTTCTTCTTTTTGCTCAATAGATGAAACAATACGCCAGGATGCGCGACGTGCTCCAATCACATTCTTGTATGCAACAGAAAGCAAGTTACGTTCTTCGACAGTCAAGTCAACATCCAACTATATGAACGAGTGAGATAAACACATAAAAAAAACTTGTTTTTTTTTTTTTTTTTTTTTTTTTTTTTTTTTTTTTTTTACCTTGGCAACGTCTTTCATACAAGAAACCATTTCTTTAAGAGAAGCATATATCAGAATATTGTTTTTTTCTAAAGTGATACATTACCATCATAACGTTCCGCTTGTTCGGCAATCTTTGCCATATAAACCTATACATGTTTAGATATTTGAATATATATATATATATATACGAAAACTACTTTACTTGATCTTCACGGTTCTAAAACAAACATTAAATAAAACTTGTATAAAAGAATAGGATATACTTACAATAGACATGGTTAAGAGAGAGAGAGAGAGAGAGAGAGAGAAAATAGACAAAAGAAAAAGAAAAAGAAAAAGAAAAAGAAAAAAAGGGGCGAGGGTGTGCAAACAAAAGTAAAGAAATAAGGGGAAGCTATTTTTTTTTTATTTTGCACCAAACAATAAATCATGCGTTTAGAAAGGAAACGGCGCCTGAAAAAAAAAACTACACAATGAATTTTCTCTTGATAAATTCTGATATCCAAGAGAATAGCGTACTACGCAAATAAACTGATTGATACAAAAATAGACTAAACATACCCATGGTAGAAACAAAAGCCCACATAGACCTGCTACCATATGTTTCATATATATAACCACATACTAACACATTCAGGCCACTCACTCCATTAAAAGCCATATTAAGTAAGCCTTGCGCGCTGCTTTTTAAATGAGGAGGGGCATACAGATCTGCTTGTAAAGCACCTGCACTCCAAGCCATCGAAAAACCGATACCATGGAGTAATTGTGTAGTAGTAGTCAACCATGCACCAAAAGTCAATTCGGTAGCGACAAAATAAGTCAAGCAACGATAGACAGTGATACATTGGGCGACAATAAGCATACGACGAGAACCTAAACGTAACAAAATCTAAAAAACATAAGACACAGTATCATAAACACACACACACTTACTTGTTTTGAATAGAAAAAACAAATAACTTCGGTACTACTTCCTAATGGTCCAAACAAACCCAACATGGAAGAAGTTCCTTTTAAATCGTTTTCAAAAAACAGATATAGAAATGCTTGAATAGCAGCAATCACAGAACCAAGCATGACAACAAACGTAAAGAACTGAACAGATTCTGGTGTCTGCAACAAGTGCCACATAGATCCTTCTTTTGCTTTTGTTACACTAATGTCATCATCTTGGTCCTCAATGACTATTTGTTCTTGAGGCGATAGAGAAGTAGTACCGTATTTTGCCATACTATACTTGGGTGGATCAAAGTTAGTGAATATCACTGTCACTATAAATGAAATACAGGAAAATCCAAATACAATGAAGAGAGCATAAAGTGAGTCTAGCTTTTCTGTCAAAAACCCAGTCAGGAAAACAGAAGAAGCAAACCCAATGGGTACGCCTATCTTTTGTCGTCCATACAAATCTTTTCTGTCTGCCAATACTCTCAAAATCACAGCATCAACAAGCACTGCAATCACTGGATACCCAAAGAAAGCATAACCAAAGCAACCCATTGAAGTCAGTACAATATGTATCCATTCCTTGTCTGAAGCAAAAGGAACAAACGCAATCGATAAAATACACTAGTAGTGCTGTTAGCTACCATGTTTTTGATAGTTAAACATACCCCTAAGGCAATCAACATATTTTGGATCATGACTTTTTTGTATTCGCCTGTTTTATCGACAAGCCAAGTCCAGTAAGGCATAGCAGTCAATGATACAAGGGGCGCTTTATACAGTCAATAGATTATTCAATGCGTTTTTACCTACTGATAGAGAATATAAAACCAATTTTATCAGTACCAAGTCCTAGGACTTTTCTATAAAAAATAGGCAAAAACATTTGGCCTGAACCAATACAGCCCATACTAAAAACACTTAATAGTTTTAGGCCAACGTAGTATCTGTCTTCATTCGCACTGGACCGTGTAACTGGTTCATTATTGACATGTATCAGCATTTTACTTTTTAAAAAAGAGAGAAAAAAAAATAAAAAGAATCAAAGGAAAAATAGGGGAATAAAGGGGGGAAACGATCTCACTAATAAATTGGATCCCAGTCATATCTCCTGGATATGCGTTTCTTTTCTCAACAACGTTATGTCTCATCTTAACAACACAGATGGCCAATCTGCACATGAAAGGTCTACACGGTACGTACATAAACCGTATACAACAAGTGTTTGTAAACAATAAAACTAGAAGCACAGAAGCACAGCAGGAACTAGATAATGAGCTATTGCGTCGTCTTATACCTGGAGTAGAGCGACGACTAACAGAGATGGCTCGAAGGCAAGAAGAGTCTTTTCGAGAGCTGTTTGCTCAGTTGAAAGAGATAAATACTAAGCTAGACAGTATGGCTCCTCAAGGAGCTTCACTTCAAGTTAGTATTAATGGACCTGGCAGAAATCCACTTCAGTTAAATATTGGTTGGCCAGAAGGCTCTCATGCTCCAGCTCCTACTCAGCTTATTTCAAACTCAAATATTCCAAACCCGAATGCCCCAAACATGAGCACTCCTACTGACCCAGTTGTTCCCGTTACTCAAGCTCCTATTCCTACTACTAATACCCCTTCTGATCTAGTCACCACAACCATTTGTTCCGAAAGAAATACCAGCCCAGTTCGTTCACCTGTTCCAAACTTCGTTCGTCCTCTTCCAACATTGGACCGCCATCCTGTGCGATACAAATTAAGTCGCACTGTTCGTTCACTTCGTGATCTATACAAGGAATGGACAATCGGTTTAGATGGGAAACCTGCCATTGAATATTTGAATATACACCATAAGGGCTGGAATGATGGAGACAGGACCTTCTACAGACGAAGAAGTAGAGTCATTCAAGCCATTAAATCTTATGCCAAAGAGAGAGATATCCCTATGGAAGATGCAGTCAATATAGCAGAATCAAATCGAATATCAAACAAAAAAACAATTGATTTTTTATCAAAAAATCCTAGCAAAATTTTTAATGCATAAATATTGTCATACAAGGGTAACACGAATAAAGGGTCAAATCAAACATTTTTTTATAGTTAATTGAACGATATATACATCTTTATGGTGACGAAATGAACTGTGATGTTCATCATTTTGCATCATTGAAAAAAAAAGGAGAAAAAAGCAAAAGACTGATTTGATAAAACCAATTTGATGATCTATCAAAGTATCATCATTGTTCATGAACAAAGAAATATAATACATGACCACAAGCCTAATAGTAATGATCCAGGAAAAATCTGAAGATAAAGTTGCATGCATAAGGTGATAAAGTTAATAGAAAAAAAGAGTTGTAAGCTGTGTACAAATGCATGTTTATGTATGTGTAACAGCTATAAATATTCTGAGTAACCATTCAATCTAGAAGCATCTGAAATAACGCATATACTTTTTTTTAATCTTACAAATGCAAGTACATGAATATGTATATATATAAAGTGTGTGCGTATGTATATATAATTGTATGTATATATAATTGTATGCATAAAAAAAGAAAGCAAACAAAAAAGAAAGAAAAAAAGCCTTATTGACCAGTTGAAAAAGGATGATGATGTTGTTGTTGTCGTTGTTGTTGCTGTTGCTGTTGTTGCTGGAACATAAAGCTATTATGTATTTGCGTATTTGGTAGTGAAGTACGTTGATAATAATTCATGTAGTATTCATTCACTCCATCACCTTGATGTTCATTGCCCATATCACTCATGCTGTGTTGACGGTGGTGTGGATGAGGTATTGGCTGGGTATTCTCATTATTCTCTGGATGATGTGGACTCGAATAATTGCGTAAAGAACTAGTAGTAGGCGCAGGATTAACAACTGTATTGTAATCATAGGGATGTTGTTGATGAGCATGTAAAAATGCATCACTTGTAGGTGGGGGAGTTGAAGGAGAACTGCTGCTTGTTGTAGTATGGTCATTGGTTGTATCAACAGTGGTAGCATTACTGGTAGCAGTGTTCATATGAGTAGAAATGCTATTGTTGTTATTGAGTGGGTGAATAGGATTTAATAATTGACCTAGATTGGGTGAAGCAAATCTTTCGTTTGATGGTTGTGGTGACTGGTAATTATCAACAGAAGGACCAGATATAACTTGGCTAATGGAGTTGGATGAAGAGCGATCAAAAAAGGAATCAGTTGCTGCGTAATTACGAGAATCAAATCGAGGAAGTGAAGTGGAGGAAATAGAAGAAGCAGAATAATGGCGTTGATGTTGCTGTTGCTGTTGCTGTTGATACCGAGCAGGAGAGAGCATAGGTGTACTTGGAGAAGAGGTCAAACTAGAAGGAGATGGCATCGTACTTGTTGAAGAAGGAAACATACTACTGTTACTATGCTGTGGATGGTGATCATGGTGATAAATATTAGTAGGTATATTATTATTGTTGCTATTGCTATTGTTATTTGAGCTGGGAGAATGTTGGAAATGATTTGAAATCGAAGGAGATTGGGGTGCTATTCTCTGCTGCTGTTGCTGTTGTTGTTGGTATGGATGATAGATTATGCCCTCGTTACGCATGATCATTTGTTCATGACCACGGATTGAGCCGACAGACATACTGCGAAGTGGATGCATTACACGGCTATAACTAGAAGAGGCTGTAGGATCAGGAGGAGTAAGAGGACCTTGATTCTGTTGGTGATGATATTGTTGCTGATGGTGAGGATGGGGAAGATGATCATGTTGATCAAAGGTAGGTTCAACAAGAGGTGGTATACGAAAGTTTTGTTTAACTAGTAACTCAGGTGAAATCTCTAGACTGGCTAATTCAGGAACCGAAGAAGGAGAGCGTAATTTTTCTTGTAAGACTTCATTCGGGTCATAGTACGAAATTAAATGTTGAGCAACACCATTCACGATAACAGACATTGTCTTCTTTATCAACCCATCTTCTTTAAATCGATAAGAGTCGGACAGACTGCCAATAAGTTGACGCTCTTTGTTCCTGTCAATGATGGTATTATCAAGACTGAAGCTTCTTCTGGCTGGAGAAGACATGATGTTGCTGTTATTAGACATTCTTTTTTCACCTGTTGCCTTTTTGTCTAATTCTCTATAGATCAAAAAGTTACCCAATATACGTGATGGGCTCCAGACTCTACCATCTGTCCAACGCTTAATGCCTATTTAAAATAAATAACATTGAAACAGAGAATAATTAAAATTACCTGATTCTCGTTCATCAAAAACAAAAATGGAACCAGATCTAATCATTTTTCTTTCTCGTTCCTGAAGACGTCTGCATATCCTTGGAAGCAATCCACGTCGACAGCCTTCAAAAATTAATAAAACATCTTGTGTTGTTTCAATATAACCATGGAAGGTTTCCGTAACCAACATAATAACAGGGGGCTATCTCAAAAAAGTGTTACAAGAAGCAGTAGCAACTAGTGTAAAAGAAGAAAGAAAGAAAAATAAAGCTGCACGATAAAACGGAAAAAGAAGGGAAAATAAAAAAAAAAAGTGTGACATGGTCCCCACTTTCTAAAAAGTTGAAATGAGAGACGGTAAATTATTTTGCCGTTTTCGTATGTAGTAACATGAATGTAGTATATTTATCTCCTCTTTTAGGCTCTTTGAGCAAGACAAATTAGCAATGACTAAAAGAAATAATTTACTTCCCACACTTATTTCATTAATAAACAGCACATTGGGCGGATGTTGAATAATTGCAATGTTTGTTTTCTTTTTTATTCTACTGTGCTCTCTTATTCTTGTAGCTCTTTTATTCAAATAAAACGAATTTTTGTGACGGTAGGGTAACACAAACATTTCCTGGGTTTTTTTTTGTATGAACACAATTGACATTCTATATCTTTTTTTTTGGACGCTCAGATAATGCTTTTGATAGAGTTTTATAGGTGATACAATCCAGACCCGTATATTACATTGAGCAGCTATATCTTCTTAATGCACGTGTGTTGCAACTACTCAAACTAGTTTGAACCTTACACAAACTAGTTTCTAATTTACATGATAATGCGCATTGATTGTGTCGCCATGCTTTCCCTCCCGACAAAATCTTGAGAATTAAAGAAAACTTTTTTTATTGATTATGTAATGTACATGTTGTATATTAGGTATAAAATAAGGATAGTCATGGCATTTTACATCATGCCACCCATACCACCCATACCGCCCATACCTCCCATACCTGGCATACCGGCAGGCATACTAGTAGACTTGGTGGGAGCATCAGTAATCATGCATTCAGTGGTAGTCAAGAGAGATGCAACACCAGAAGCATCAACCAAAGCGGTGCGAACAACCTTGGTAGGATCAATAATACCACGCTCAATCATATCACAGTATTCGTTGGTAGAAGCATCGTAACCCCAGTTGATGTTTTCAGGGTGTTCTTCAAGAAGCTTACCACTTACCACAGAACCTTCACCACCAGCATTGTCAACAATGGTACGGCAAGGGTTTTGAATGGCTTGGCGGATAATGTTGATGCCAAGTTGTTGATCAAAGTTGGCGCCCTTCAAGTTGGCAAGAGATTTAGCAGCCTTCAAGAGAGCAACACCACCACCAGGAACAATACCTTCTTCAACAGCAGCACGGGTAGCACAGAGAGCGTCATCGAAACGATCCTTCTTTTCACCAACTTCGACTTCAGAGGCACCACCGACATTGATGACAGCAACACCACCAGAGAGCTTAGCAAGACGTTCTTGAAGCTTTTCTTTTTCGTATTCAGAAGTGCTAGAATCAGCCATGGCACCACGGATTTGCTCACAGCGCTGAGTGATGATATCCTTAGAACCAGCACCGTTCATGATGATAGTATCTTCCTTAGTTATAGTAACAGAGCCAGAAGTGCCGAATAAGTCAGGGGTAGCTCTTTCCAACTTGAGATCAACATCATCAGAGAAGACGGTAGATTGAGTCAAGATACCAATATCACCTAAAATGTTACGACGGTTATCACCAAAACCAGGAGCCTTGACAGCAGCAACTTGAAGTTGACCACGGAGCTTATTCAAAATACAGGCAGCAAGAGCTTCACCATCAACATCTTCAGCAACAATCAAGAGAGGACGACGTTGAGTAGCAGCAGCTTCAAGAGCAGGCATGACATCGCTGAGCAAAGAAATCTTCTTTTCAGACAACAAGATCAAAGGCTTTTCGAATTCGACCTTTTGAGTCTTGGTATCGGTAATGAAGTAAGGGGAGATGAAACCACGATCGAAACGCATACCCTCAGTAACTTCCAATTCGTCGTCAATGGTCTTACCAGCCTTGACAGTGATGACACCTTCCTTACCAACACGCTCCATAGCTTGAGCAATCATCTCACCTACATGCTTGTCACCATTAGCAGAAATAGTGGCTACTTGAGCAATTTCTTGTGGAGTAGTGATGATCTTGGTGTGTTGCTTCAAGAAATCGACAACGGCATCAACAGCCATTTGAGCACCACGACGAAGATCCATGGGGTTACAACCAGCAGCGACGTTCTTAACACCTTCAGAGAAGATAGCACGGGTCAAGACAGTAGCAGTAGTAGTACCATCACCGGCAAGTTCGTTGGTCTTGTTGGCAACGTCTTGAACAAGACGAGCACCCAAGTTTTCAAACTTGTCTTCCAAAACAATGGATTTAGCAACAGTAACACCATCCTTGGTAATCTTGGGAGAACCATAGGGTTGTTCAATTAAGACGTTACGACCCTTGGGACCTAAAGTGACAGCAACAGATTTGGCTAAGATGTCAACACCGCGCAAGAGACCAGCACGACCATCAACACCAAACTTGATATCCTTGTGTGTAGAGTAAAGACGACGAAGAACGCCAGTAGAGTTGGCCAAAGAACGAGTCTTGGAGGCAATCATGCGGTTCATTGTTTCAAAGAAAAAAAGAAAGACGAAAGAGAAAAAAAAGAAAAATGCAGGATGTGCCTTTAATATTTCTTGCCCCGGAAGAAAAAAAATGAGTTTGAAAGAAGATGGGGGGAAGAAAGAGGACATTGTAGAAAGACCTAGAATGTTTAAGTGGCTTGGGCAATTAGATGGGAGAGAATGAATGAATACCTTTATTAATATAACAAGAACAATAAGCTATACAGTAATGTCTATTTGACAAGAATGAATTGTTTAGTTCTTTATTATAACAAAAGCCTTTCTTTCATTTATTTATTGCTTATTCAAAGTTGAAAATGTACAACAGTAGGAATGAATTTTTCCCACAATCTCTTACTATGGACCAATCAATGAATAAGCAGGAACAAAGGATGCTTAGTAAACCAAACCTCTGGGAGTGTAAGGTTCTTCCAAGTACTTGACATCTTCTTCTGTAAGCTTGATATCCAAAGAGCCAACAAGGTCGTAAAGTTGTTCAATTTTGCTAACACCCACAATAGGACTGCTGACATAAGGCTTGGTGAACTCCCATGCCAAAGCAATTTGAGCACAGGTAGCATTGTACTTTTTGGCAAGTTCTTCAACGCGGTCAATGATAGTATTGTTGCTTTCAGCTTGTGTGGTGGGGAACATGGACATAACAAAACGAGAGCCGCTTCTTGTGGTTTCTCTCTTTTTACCTGTGAGTTGACCCATAGCAAGAGGAGACCAAGGGATCCAAGCAATACCACTGTCAGAACAGTAAGGAGCCATCTCTCTTTCTTCTTCTCTGTAGAGCAAGTTGTACAAGTTTTGCATGGAGACGAATTGAGCCCAACCTCTCTTTTCAGCGACGTGGTTCATTTTAGCGAATTGCCAAGTGGCCATAGAGGAAGCACCAATGTAACGAACCTAGTGTTGTGTATTGGTCAACTGAATTTATCGTGCCGTCAAATCCCTTACCTTGCCGGAGCGCACCAAGTCATTCAAGGCTTCCATGGTTTCTTCAATAGGCGTGTTAGGATCAAAACGATGAATTTGGTATAAATCAATATAGTTTACACCAAGACGTTCCAAGGAAGCATCAACAGCATCAAAGATATGCTTGCGAGAGAGACCAAATCGATTAATCATATCAGGGTCTGTCTGAAGAGTGCTACGATCAGATTTACCAGTATCGTCATAGACAGGACCAAAGACCTTGGTAGCAATAACAACACGGCTTCGAGGGGCATTGAGTTCCTTTAAGGCTTTACCGAGAATTTTTTCACTATCGCCGTTGGAGTAAGTGTTGGCAGTATCGAAAAAGTTGATGCCCAAGTTGTAGGCTTCCTTGATATCAGCAACAGCTTCAGCTTCATCCTTGACCCAAGGACTCCATTTAGAGTTACCATAAGACATACAGCCAAGACAGATACGAGAAACCTTTAAACCAGTGTTTCCGAGGCGAACATAGTACATTTTGGTGGTAGTAGTAGTAGCAGACATATATAAAAACTCTCAAGAAAGTAAAGCTAAATTGAACTGCCTAAAATCATACTTTTATATATCCTTGTTATTTGACAAATTGACTTTATTTGGAATGATTACATTTCTGCTAACATCTTGATGTCAAGTAAAATTCTGCTGGTACCGAAAATGACCCGAGAAGCTATCAGTTCTCCAAGACAAATCTAAATCTGGGTTTACCAGCTCTGAAGTCGTCTACAGCCTTTTGAACATCTTTCATCGGGTACTTTTGAATCCAAGGCTTGATTTGCTTTTCTTCAGCAAACTTAAGCATATCTTCGATCTCAGCAGGTGAACCAATGGCTGATCCATGAATGAAGCATTGATTAAAGATCAACACAACAGGTGGGATAGAAGGAAACTCCCATTCAGGGAAATTGACATTAAGGAAATAGCCATTACCATGAAGAAGTGAAAGATAATCAGCCCCTACAAAAGTGTTGGCAAACTATTGGTTTTCAAAACAAAAGACTTACACTTAAAATCAGGACTACAACCAGTACAAAGTATATGGGTCAACTGCTTTTTGTATTTCTTCATCTCCTCTTCATTACTAGTAACTAAAAACTCATCACAACCAAGTTCTTTAGCTACTTCACGCTTCTTATCGCTATAAGACATGCCGATAACTTTAGCACCCATGGCCTTTGCCCAAAGAACACCATAATGACCCAAACCGCCAATGCCCATAATGCCAACAACCGATTTCTCATTGACACCACTGCGCTTCAAGGGAGCATAAGTCGTGATGCCAGCGCAAAAGAAAGTGGCAGCAATTTCATTGGACAGATGATCAGGAATCTTGAACACAAAGCGACGATCGCCTCGCCATTTGTCAGCATAGCCACCATATGATTTGCTGCCATTGTAATATTTGCCATTGTAAGTACCTACATGGCCTTGATAGCATAGATTTTCCATACCCTCATTACAATGAGAGCAATGATGACAGCTACCAGATTGAGCACCAATGCCTACACGATCACCAACTTTAACATGCGATACATTCTTGCCAACGCGAGTAACATTGCCCGTAATTTCATGGCCCACAACACAAGGATAATCAGTCTTGCCCCATTGATCTCCTTCATCCAAAGTATGAATATCACTTCCACAGATGCCACAGTGAGTGATATCGATTTCTACACAGTCTTCATCCCATTTTCTTAATTCGAGTTCTTTCTTTTCAAGAGATTTGCCTTTAGCAACACCAGCCCAAGCAATAAACTTATTAGAAGACATTTAAATAGTATTATCAATAAAGAGAAAAATACATGTTTTTTTTATCGAGACTCTTTTTATAGTGTAGTTTCAGAAAAGTACTTTTTTTTTTTTTTTTTTTTTTTTTTTTTTTTTTTTACATGGGGAACTTTTTTCTTCTATGACGATCGCGATACGGTTATCATGCAATAAAAATCGATCTATAAATTTATTTTACATTTGATTTTGAGTTTTGAAAGCATCCCATGCTTCATTCAAAGCAGCAAAGATACCACTGGCAATCATTCTTTGCTCAACAGTAACATTAGATGGAAGCTAACAGCATATATTAGTACAGAAAAAAAAAAGGGGAGTTTCCCAGTGTAGACTCTATTTTTTACCTTGTCAGGATGTACTTTGCCAATAGCCTTCATATAACACACCTTGCATTTCTTGGGATTCACAAGTTCACTCATTTGAGCTCCCTTCCATTGAGCACCAGGCCAAAGCAATGTGTCCAATGTAGCCAATAATGCACGTAGATTTTGTTCTTTACCAGCCTTCCAAGCAACTAATTTGGCATTTACCATATCTGTCTTTTCTAGACGCTCTGCTTCTTCTGCCTCTTGTTCAGCAGCTTTGGCACGCATAGCAGTTACTGCTTTACTTTTGCTTAATTCTTCTTGAGATACTATGGGCATATCAGGTGGGTTTATATTAGGATCAAACATGGACATCAAGTCTTGTTTTGGTTGTTGTTGTTGTTGTTGTGGTAATGATGGCAATAATGATGATGGTGTTGATTTCTTGATAGGCTCTTTCTTTGTGTTCAAAGCTTGTCGACAACGAGCCATACCATGATTAATCTTGGGATTACCAGTACCTTCAAGTTTGACAAGTTCATTATACACACCTAAAGCGTCTGTATATTTTTCGATGTTTTCTAATGCTTCTGCTTTACGATACAGAGACTTGATGATTTGGTCTCGCCAGACAATCACCACACCTTCTACTTCTGTGCTACCATCACCACTTTGCTTGGCAAGATCAATGGCCGTGTCGCAATCTTCGACACATTTTTTGTACTCACCAATCTTGAGGCGTGTCATAGCTCGATTGTTGCATAGTAAGACAAGGTGGTCGTGTCCTGAGGGCAGCATATCAATAGCGCGAGTGTAAGCAGCTTCGGCGTCACCAAATTGACCTAATTTGAACTTGGCATTGCCGAGTTCTCTTGCTTCGTTTGTCTTTGTCATTATGTCAGATGAAGCATTGACGATGGGTCGTGTACGGACATGGTTGACAGGTTTAGCAGGAGGGTGGGCAGGTTTCACAGGTGATGGAGCAGGCTTTGAAGGCACATGAGAAGGGTTTTGTTGGCTTGGTGTTGATCTTCCGCTATTGGGACGACGATGACGAGAAGGTGAAACATAAGTATCTTCTGAGATTAATGTCTCTTTTCTAGCCTTTTCTTGTTGACGCATACGATGAGCGGCAGCCGCTTTCTCACGCTGTCTCTTTTGTCTTTCATGATCGTCATCGTCATCGTCATCATCTGCAAATCTTTCCACTTTTTGAGAATCCATTGTCATGTCTATGTCTTTATCTGTCATCCATTTAGGTCTGGCATTTTGCTTTTGCTCCTGTAATCTTTGTGCTCGTTGTTGTTCTTGCCAATCCACTACAACCTTTGTTACTTTTTCACGTCCTGCCTTAAAATAAGAAGTGGCATTCTTGTAAAGAAATCCACCTAATTCTTGTGCCTGAGATACGATTTTCTCAGTTTGGTTATGTGGTCTGTCTTCAGCCTGTTTGTTCGGAACAGAAGTATTTTGTGCACTGCTCCTTGTAGGTTGTTGGCGCTTTGCTGTTTCCAAATTCTGAACTAATAAATCAATAGCTGCCTGAAGATCCTGACCACCTGTGGCTTCTATAGCAAATTTTGATTCCTGCAAACTGAATCCCATATCAATCAAATGTGCCATCATTTCATCTTCTTGATCATCATCGAGTTTAGTGTTTGTGACAACAGGGCTTGTAGATTTGTCTGAAGGTGCTTTGGTAGAAGGCGGTTCGGCCAATATGCCTAATGGGTTATCATCTTCTTCTACAATATGTGTCGTCTGTTGAACTAGTGACTCCATATCAAATGGGTCATTCGCTATGTTTGTGTTTACGGTTGCTTTTGTGTCCAGAAAATCAAAATCCCAATCGTTGTCACTTTGAGAAACAGGTGTAGAACTGCCTTGTGTTCGTCTACAGACAAGTCAATCAACGCCATTTTTTTATATTTGTATTACTTACATTTGGTTTAAAGAAGTATTCTTTTCTTGAGTTGGTTTCTTATTACCAAAAGGGTCAAGTAAGTCTTCAAAAGAAGAAGTAGTTGTTTTATTGACTTCGAGTGTAGAAAGTGACGGAGAGGGAGCAGCACTCAAAGTAGTTCTTGAAGTAGGTGTATTCGCTCGAACAGGCGTGTTGGCCTGACTAGGTATATTGGTCTGAGTAGGTATACTGGTGTTGGCTTGAATAGGTGTAAGCCAAGGTGACGTATTTTGTTGACATTTTTGTTGCTCTAATAAAGAAAGCTTGGGTGCTTCTGCTGGTTTATTAGTTGACAGCAAGTCAGCAAATGCATCTTTTGGCTTGGAAGAAGGGGGTGTTGGCTTAGGGGAAGAGGAAGGTGCTGACCAGTTGAGGTCTAACAAGTCGTCCATAATTTACAGAAACAAAAGAGTGTAAAATAATAATAATTAAAAGAAAGAGGAATAGGAAATATTGCATTTCATTTAATTTATATTTTTGAACCAATAAGACTTTTATACATTGCTCTTTCTTTTTTTTATTATTATTGTTAGGATTGTCATTCTCTTTCTCTAATGATGATGGCCTTCAGGCTTTTGGAAACGAATGCCACCTATAAGGAAAGAAAAGTCAATAAATTATTACAATCATCATCACTTACAGTAAGAACAAGCATGAGGTCCAGGCTTATCCAAGTTGATATAAATCTTGGGATGACCTAAAACACCACCACCTAATGATATCGTGAATAAATAAAAAAAAAAAAAAAAACTAGACAATCTTTAAACACTTTACCACCATCACAGTGAGCAATGCGCTTATTAACAAATCGAATGGGTTCTTCAGCAATAAGGTCAATAGCAGCCATAGGGTTGGGCTAATGTATAATTTAAGTTATCAAATTCTATATTCTATCTCTCTCTCTTTTCTGTTTGTTTACCTGAGTAGTAAGGTCGGTTTGTTCGAAACGAGGACCAGCTAAAGCTTCAGACTTGGGACGTTGAGTCTCGGACCAAGTAGTGGCACGGTTGGCTGACTGTTCGACTTGAGGAGCAACAGACTTTTCAGTAGGGCGAAGAGAAGTTGAATAGGCAGCAGAAAAGCTCTTCAAACTGGTTTGACGTGCTGTAGAAGGTCTCAAGCGTAATGAGTGTCGAAGCATAGTTTATTGTAAGGAAAAAAAAAGGGCAATAAAAAAAAAAAGATTAGGCCTGCCGACTCTAAGCACCAACTGATGCTACCGACAAAAAAAAAAAAGATGACGTTGGCTTTTGTGACTTAAATTTTCTTGGTAAGAAGGATCAGTGATACACTTTATTCAAATGAACAGAAATAAAATCCTAGAATAGGTAAATAGTTGTATTGTTATTTACATTAATTAATGAGAAAGAGCAGAGAACAAAAAAGAGGTAAACTAGTGACAGATATTAACCAATTATATGTTGATGCCAAGTAGTTATGGTTGTCAAAGGCGGACGTACTCGTTATCAATTTCTTTAAAAGATACAACGCTTATTCAAGATGCATAAACTCAGAGAAGATACAAGTTGATGTGCTTAAAGGAACAAAGGTCTCAAAAAAGGCCGGCAATCTCATAACATTAAAGCATTAAACTCACACACAATGATTGGATATCGATAATTGAAAATAAAACCAACTCGGATTCTTCGTGAGCACCGAAATTGCACTACAAAAAAAAGCACCCGAGATTGAAATTTTGCTTGGAACAACCTGAAGACGTAGTTATTTGCCTTTAGTGCATTAAGGAAAATTGTGGATGGCTGCTTTCTGAGTCTATTGATCCAGAGAACACAGCAACTTTGCTGCTAAAATATTGAGAGAATCAATAAAAATGTTTATGAGGGTTTTCATCCATATCTCATCATTGCCATAGTACAGTTAGCATGCAAGTACACGCACCAAAAACCAGAGATTTTGACACACATCTTGAGTATTTATACTTGTCAAAATCAGCATTTTCCGTGAGTGGTACCTTTTGGTCAAAAGGCATGTTTTGTTCAAATTTTACAAGTCGCTTTTTTTTTTTTTTTTTTTTTTTTTTTTTTTTTTTTTTTTTTTTTTTTTTTTTTTTTTTTTTTTTTTTTGGTACATATCAACCCCAAAGGTACCCTGTATGTTAGTAGACATGGTTTGTAGGTAGTTGGAGCTTCCATGTGTATATAAGCAGACTTTATGTTACCTTTGTGCATATACTTTTTTGATACAAAAAGTGTGTTTATTACAAATGACATGGGGGGTTTTTTGCATGACTTGATGAGATCAATGATACTTTGCGCCAAATGAAACTGATTCTCTGTATATATATACTTCATAAAAAACGCAACAAACAAGAATGAAGTATTAGAAACTTTTGATAGATAAACTTATCCTTTCTTTCTTTACGTAATGTTTACAACCCTTTCGAAACCAACATGTGTACATTCCCTTTCAATAAAGTCATCAATTACAACAAGTTAAAACCAATTGATTTGACTAGAACATCAGATTCCAAAATGTAAGAAAGTAGTCCTAGTTCAAATGAAGTCATCCCACTTACACGAACGTATTTAAGAAACATCTTTGTAATTCTGGTATTACTTTAATGTGTATTTTGATGATGATACAAGTAAATATAAACGCTGATACCGTTTATTTGAATAAGTTTTATTAGTCAAGTTTTTTTTTTTTTTTTTTTTAGTTGACTATCCCTCTACTGTTTACAGAGTAGAATCTGTCTCCATGTTCGTTGCATAAAGACCTCCTACTTCTGTCGGTAAATCAATCTGAATGGTGCGTAATCCTCGAGAAGAACTAAGACGATTGAATTCAGCCTGTAGATCTTTACCCATCTGTGTCACAACATCGTCTGGCATATTAAACATGTAACAATTGATAAACACTTGTTTGGCATCCTTCAATAGTTGATCAGGATGTGTGTATTTGCCCTTGTCGAGTTTACGACGAATGGTACCGAAATCCATAGGTTTTTTGATGATATCATGATACGTAGGAATCTGCAGTAATTCGACATCAACAGGTGCACCAAATGCAAAATAGTGAGGATGATGGCGTAAACGATCGAGAACGGACTTATATTTACGAAGCTCTACCAAGTTGGGCGAAGTGGCACTGGATGGACTAGTAGCCACGGGTGGTGTAGAGGGTGTGGTAGCCACAGCTGGAGATGGTTTCGTATGGCCGTTTGATGTATGGACAACTGTTGTATTTGTGATGGCTTCGTTCTTTAATTCTTCTTCTTTACGTCTCAGGGCAGGGCCTTCTTTGTTTAAAATGTTTTCTAAAGTTTTAGCATGCTGTGATAGCAAGTGATCAAATCCATTAAACGTATAACAGTTAGTAAAGATCAATCGCATGTCGCTTTCAAATTCTTTGACAGTTTTGTATTGTCCGCTGTTAAGTTTCTTCATCCTATTGTCTCCTTGTTAAATCAAAACGTTTTATTCAATGACTTACATGGTACCAAGATCCATAGGTTTCTTGATGATCATAGGATAATGAGGAACACATAAGGCAACAGGATCAACCTAAAATAAGGTGAACATCTACAAAAGAAAAAAAGAGAGTAAACTTACAGGTTCTAAGAAACCAAGAGCTTCTGGTTTTTTCATGACCTTTGAAAGTAAGGCCTTCATCTTGGATTGTAAGACAGGATGGAGTTTAGCTGGTGGTTCAGCCATGCTCGATGAAGGTGACTTAGTAACTACAGGTGATTTGACAACCACAGGATCAACTTCCATAGAATCTTTGGTAGTCTCGACTTTAGTATGTGTTGACTTGACCTTTTTAGGTGGTTGTTCTTCTATCTTCTTTGCTGTAGATGAATGAGCACGTTTTGGTGCAGGAGCAGCAGCAGGAGTAGAACTGGTAGTTGACACTGGAGTAGCAGCAGCAGCAGTAGCAGCAGCAGCAGCAGCAGGAGGAGGTGGTGGTGGTGGAGGAGGCGCCTCAGCACTTGCAATACGAGCACGCATCTCACGGCTAATGTTTTGATAATACTTTTCCAGCTTTTTGCCTTGATCATTACCATAAGTACCTGGTGCATTGTAAGTAAAGCAGTTCTTGAACACAAGTCGAATATCAGCATCTAATGCCTTGAGCGAAGTGTATTTATCACTTTCCAATTGTTCCCAAATGGTTCGCAAATCCATGGGATGTTTCACAATTGTGGCATAGTCTTGCAAAGCCTCTAAATCAACAGGCTCATTGAACAAAGCAGCAGCATCATGTAATGTCAGTTTGTTCACTACTTTTTGTGCAATACGCTTATCTTCTCCCTTGAGTGCATTGGGATGAGCAAATTCAGCAGCCCAGACTTGATTAAGAAAGGCTTCTAATGCTTGGCATTGTTTAGCTACCCATGATTCATGCGCATTAAAGCTATAGCAGTTCCAAAAAATTTGTCGAATGTCACGTTCCAATTCCCAAATAGTGGCATATTTGTCTTCTTGAAAGTTCTTTCGAATGGCACTCAAATGCATGGGCCGTTTGATGATCTCATAGTATTGAGGAATATTGAGTCCAACAGCATCCACAGGATCAATAAAGGGTTGAGAAGCTTGATGAGCACATAGCTTTTTAAGCACACGCTCACATTTCTTTTTGTTGGCTTCATTCATGCTAGGATTGATCGCTGCAGTAGGTGATACAGTTTTAGGCGTTTCCACAGTACTGGGCGATGCAACAACAGGCTTTGGCTTAGGCTTTTCTATAACACGAGTCACAGTAGTGGATGGTGCAGGAGCAGGTGAAGAAGAGGGTGCAGTGATAGTAATCTTATTAGGCTTGGGTTTCTCTACAGGCGTCGATGGAGGAATATGTATAGTAGGTTTGGATACTTTGTTTGGCATGTTTAGCTTGATGGATGTACTTGGCTTGGTAGGAGACTCGTTCAAGCGAGCGTCTTCAGTTGAATTATTTACAGTCTTGGGTATTTTAGTAGAAGAAACAGAAGTGGATTTAGGTGATTTATCATGACGCACTTTGATCTTGCTGATAATACGACGGTCCTTTTTAGATATCTCTCCACTTTCTGTCTTTTTATGCTTGGGTTTAGAAAGAGTCAACACGGGAGGTGGTGGCACTGGTTCAGGCGAATGTTGCTTCGCAGGAAGAGTGGGTTGTTTCACAGTAATAGGAGGAGAAGGAGGAGGAGGTGGAAGAGGTTGTTCTACCACAGGCTCATCAATATCAATATCAATCAATTGACTTTCAGAATCAGAAGATGAACTCTCGGGTACATCTTGAGTTGCTTTGATTTGAACGCTGTTTGTCTTTTTATGACTTTTGTGTGGTTTCTCTTCAGCCTTTGGTTTGGGTTTATTAAGGCGAATTGTTGTAGGTGTCGAGGATTCCTCTTTTGTTTCTTGTGTAGAAGGTAAAGTAGGCACACGAATGGTTACCTTGAGACCAACATCAATTGGCTTAAACATGTATTCACAAAGCTGAAGTAAATATTTACGAATACAGTGATCCAATTTAGCATTTTCAGCCGAACTATAGAAACGATGAGTGCTCTCGCCCAAAAACAACAAGGATGATACTTACTTCAACAACTCCCACAAGTTCTGTTGAAATGCTGTATTGTTCTCAAACCGTTTTCGTAAATTCTCAATGCTTGCTTGAAATTCTTGCTGAGGTGTCTTCTTGAGAGGTCCAATATCATCATCCACAACAATACGCCCATCTTCTTCAGAAAAGTCTTCCATGGCCCGTGTAGGCACTGTGACCACACTTGAATTCTCTCGAATAGCCAAACCCAACCATGCCAGCATGGCACGAGCCACATAATGACACACATAGACACAAGGATCTTCCTTGATGATGTTCAACAAATACCGATTCAACACAGCATCCGAAAGACCGCAGAGAATAAGCAAGCTGTCTAAAGCAGCCAATCGAACATCGAGATAATTACCATAGCGTGTATACTGCATAAACATCGATAGATTCACAGGCATGAGTCCCTTCAGCATCAGTTTGGTCATCGTGCGTAAGCAAGTGACGGTGACTGTATTGTGGTAGGTGGGGATCACATAGTCCAGTGTACGGAAACGTTCAATCTCTGCCTTGGCTGCCGCAGTGACTTGTTGGCCTTCAGGACTATCGTAATGTAATGCATCAGGTTTATCTGACGAGGGTATTAACGCATCACCTAAAGAAGAAATTAAGGTAGCCACATAGTAGCAGTCAGAGAACTCATTGCCAATGTTATCATTGTACTTGAGTAAGTCTAATAAGAATTGACGGATACGGACAGGCGTTAAACCGTGATCATCCCGTATCTGTGAAAAGGCAACCACAGACGCCTTTTGAAGGAAATAGTCGGACAGGTTGGAGAAATTGTTAGGCTTTGGAATCGAATTGGTTAAAGGTAAATCATCCTGATCCATAGCGCGTTGCGTAAGACTACTGACAGGGAAACAAAAGCGCTTTTGAAACATCTTGTTGAGTTGATGTAAGCCTACCCAGTTCAGGGAAGGACGAGCACAGGCTGCTAGACCATACGCCGCTTCCATGCGAATCTTGTAGAAGCACTTTGGATCCAATACAGCACGCAACAAACTGGTCGATGTTGGACTGGAAGGCATATGTTTAAGAGCGTCAATAGCTTCATGCTGAGCAACGACATCCCGATCTTTGGTCAATTGAGCAGCCCACATATAATCAGGTTGTTTGAAATCACAAATGCAGAGCCATTCAAATTCGGCATCCAATCGAATCCAATCAAACATGGCACTAGCAGCACCACTTGTATCTTCTTCATCTTGACCCCATTCGACCACATGCCATTCTCCTTTTTGTTTGGGATCTTCAAACACAGGCATACCAAGACCTAAACTGGGAATAATACCAAGCACTGTTGTCCCATCCCCTTCTTCGTTTTCTTGTTCTTCTTCTGCTACAGCAGCAGCAGCAGCAGCTTGTTTGGCCAAGAAACGCTTGGTGTTTCGACGAATACGCTTATACTTTGTATTGAACTGAACCTCAAACTTGTTTTCCATCGATTGAATATCAAGGATGTGTTCATAAGGCGTACCATCGGCTTCATGAATGCGGACCGTGAGATTGCCAGTAAAGATGGGCGACATGAGTTCATAATAGTTGGCAGTAACATTGTCCCCGATAGACAAGTGATCTTGACTGGCCAGTAGTTGTGTATTAGTATTTTCTTGTCGCATAAAGATTTCGACTACCATCTTTTTACGGTTAAAATGAAAACTGAAAAAGAACTTGGGACAACCACTGCGATAGATCCATTGTTCAGCAAACACTTTGGTATCAAACCCACTGACTTTTCTACAAAGACGTAAAAAGTAATGTGTACTAATCGCATTCTGTGCCAATTCACCACTCATGGCAGACACAAGCACTTTGGGTAGCACACGAGACAAGCCTAGTGTGCCACCACCTTTACACATTCTTTTGTCCAGCATGTAAATCACCAAGGGAGCTTTGAGTTCAATGAAATCCAGGTCCTCAGGGTCCAAAGGATAAGGCAATGCTGGGTTATAGAGAGGAGGGCGATTGATGTCCAACATACAGCACAGTTCCATGTCTTTCTTTAGTCTTAGACGGTATTCATTGTTACCCAAATGTCGCTTGACAAACAAGGAACCCATGAGATTGGCTAAACCACGCACAAGCCAAGTATCAGGCCATGATTTCTGAACAATGTAGATACCAAACCATTGTCTGGCAAGTGCCTGACTTAATTCACGTCTTGTACTATAGATCTGATCAATCACATCAGATGGATGTAACAAGCGAGAACTACAGATAGCCAAAGAAGCACATGAAGTAGTATCTGACCAAGCATCTTCTACAAACACAAGCTTATAGTCTGAGAATGGATAGGAACCATATTCTTGAGTATAAAAATGCATCGCCTATCCTGTATTATTGACTGCATATATTTCCCTTGGATTGAACTTACATGCATCAAGAAACTACAAGTCACACTCAGTTCTTCTTCAAGTCCTGGTAGTGCAAATGCATAAATATTTGACATCATATTGATTTCAGCCATCAGACTCTGTTGTTGACTTTCGTCTAAATCAGCTGCTGTCATGACTTCTTCCTGTAGTTGAGAGGGTGATAGTTTAATCATCTCAAATGGGCCAATAGCAAACCCAATAAAGGGAGCTGGTGTAGGTACGGATAGACTATAGTGTACAATCTTCTTGGATGCGTCTGTTGGATGAATGACTTGTTCAACGACATCACCACTGCATACAACCATCATGCCTTCTACTTCATCAAATGCACCTTCTCCATCGTATTCAGGCACTGAATGATCTTCCTTTCGAGGCACAATGAATTCCATATCCCACGTACATCTTTCTGATATTTTGTCAATGCATGGTAACCATGAACGAGTTGCCCCTGGTAACGGTTGATGGACTGTATAGACATGATTGTGTCGATAAGGTGCAGTCTCATTGTCTTTTTGAACAAACACAACACCATTGCGTGGATCTTCAAGGGTATATTGAATTTGAATCACAATAGGCTCATAATTGGGTTCTGTTGATTCTGCTGCTGGTTTATCAGGTAACTATGGGATGGTTATCAACCACACACACACACACACATATATATATATATACAGAGAGAGATTGTTGTCGATACTTGCCTGTTGAATACAGTTTGCTGGTAATTTGATATTTAATTCACCTTCATTGGCATCTCGTAAAGCATTTAAATATCGACTTTTATAGACTTGATGATGTGCAATGGTGGTGTTGGATCCCAAAGTAAGATCAGATACAGCATCTACATAGTCATATTCTACAGGTGTATCATTTAACAGGACTTGGGTTATTTCTATACAGTGTTAATAGGTGCGATGATAAGTCGAGTGATGCTTACTGCATTGTCGACAGTTCACTCGTAAGTTGGTCAGTTTATTTAAAGGTTGAATCGTAAGTTCTGCTAGACCCTATCCAGAATATCTATTATGGCTCTGTCTGGTGCGCACGATTATATTACCTTGATAAAACGTTGACTCGGATCCACTTCAAGTACAAAACGTTCATGACTTGTATTAAGAAAGATAGAATGTCAATATACGCGTATGATACACACTAGAATACTTATAAGTTGAAAGCCTTTTTAGGAGCCTCTTTTTGCATGACTTATAAGAGACTTGATTACAAGTAAAAAGGAAAAAATAGAAAAAAATAACAAAAAAAAAAAAAAAAAAAGAATAAAGAACGGAATGAATTTATTCGCGCGTCACCAAAACCATTTCTGTACTGCGCTAAAACAATTTCTATGCTCCTTTTTCTTGTATCTCATCATAGATCTCAATGTTTAACTTTGAACTTGGTAGTTCAAGAAAATAAACTTATATTTTTATACTAATAAAAAAGCTTGTTAAAACAAAACAAAAAAAGAAACAAAAAAAAAAGGATTCAGATGCTATCGTATTATTGTTGTTTTAAGCTAAAGAGAGAGAGGGGGAAGAGAGAGTAGACTACGCAACATTCTTTGAGCCAATCAAAAGTCAGTAAACGCGTCACAGTCTATCTTAATTTTTTTTTCCTCCCCCTTTCTCTTGTTAAAAATTTTTCACGTAGTCTTTTTCAGATTCCCTCCATTAGACTTGTTCATCCCATCTTGTGAATCTTGATCCAACAACCTACCTTTTTCTTTGTTTCCTACGTTTTATAAAGTCTTTTAGAATAGGAATATGGCCTCAACACGCTCTAACCGTACCAAGAACGTTAATGAAGTAAAAGAAACGGCTCCTACCACTGTAAGCGACTCTGGTAGCTCCAACAATGCCTCACCAGCCCCTACTACACCTCCCTCTACAAAGAAGATCATCAAGAAGAAGTCCTCTGCTGGAAAATCACTTAGTAGCAGTGCTAAAAGGTAAATAAAGAAAGGGAACTATGCATAGATTAACACAAATATAGAATTTCCAAAGAATTAGCAGAGATTTCACTTGATCCTCCTTCCAATTGCAGGTAGAGTGACAGCATAAAATAAAAAAAAAAAAAAAAATAATGCAAGCGTATTGATGATTTACCTTCTTCTTTTCTTTTTCTGTAGTGCTGGTCCTAAAGGCGATAATCTATACGAATGGGTTTCTACTATTGCTGGTCCAAGTGATTCTCCTTATGCTGGTGGTATCTTTTTCTTGGATGTTCATTTCCCTCAAGAATACCCTTTCAAACCTCCCAAGGTAAAAAAAAAAAAAAGAAGTCCCATCAAATGATTTATTTATTTACGACGTGTCTTAGGTCGTGTTTAGAACACGTATTTATCACTGTAATATCAACAGTCAAGGTGCCATTTGTCTCGATATCCTTAAAGACAATTGGTCTCCTGCATTAACTATCTCAAAGGTCTTGCTCTCGATTTGTTCCTTATTGACAGATGCTAATCCTCGTAAGTCATTATTTTTTAATCCGTCTTTTTTTTTTAACAAGCATGATTAGATGATCCATTGGTAGGCTCTATTGCTCAAGAATATTTGACAAACAGAGAAGAACATGATAGCATAGCACGCGAATGGACAAAAAGGTAAAAAAAAAAAAAAGAAATTGCTTATCAGTAGTTTAATCAGGGTAATTTTAAAAGAGAGATCTAATCGCGTCTATTTCTGTTTATGTAGATATGCTTGTTAAAATAACTCTTGTCTCTCTCTCTCTCTCTCTTTTTTTTTCTCTCTCTCTGTTTCGTATTTATTAGATCCTCCTCCTTCCCTTTTTCTCATTCTTCAAAAAAAAAAACCAACATTATAATTATACATTTGCACTTCATATAGTAAATAAACTTGACATTTCACTTTTTAACAAAATATAATGAGGAGACAAATAATAGTAAGCGGGAAATTAAAAAAAAAAAGATTTAATCAATATCAAATCAATCTATATAAGAAACGGGTAACTGCAAGAAGAAGAAATACTCTTATGATCTCAACATAAAACAAACTAGGCAAAAATAAGTGGACTGAGTTTGTCAGATAACAGGGGATTCAGATAGTTTTATTTTGATCTAAACGGATCACTTGTTGTGTTCATTTTTTTTTAAAGCGCTGATCTAGAATGATGTAATCATTTGACAAGAAAAAAAAAAAATATATAAGAACGCGTTTCTGTCATTTCTTTTTTCTTCTTCTCTCTTGTATTAACTTATATATATATAAAAAATGGGTCTCTTAGATATCGTTCCTGCTGGTGTTGTTACTGGTGACAACCTCAAAAAGCTTTTTGATTACGGTAAGTAGTTTAAATAATAAATTCAGATAAATTAAATTCAAGAATAGCAAAGGAACACAAGTTCGCTATTCCTGCTATCAACTGTACTTCCACTAGGTAAGTAAAAGATATACAAACATGACTAGGGAACAAACTCCGAATGTCTCATTCTGGTTTATATTGTTTCCCAAAGCCATGTTTCAAATTTTTTTTTTTTTTGTGTTTAGCATAAACTTACACACACTTCTATTAGTACTGTCAATGCTGCTCTTGAAGCTGCCAGAAAGAACCAATCTCCTATCATCATTCAATTCTCTAACGGTGGTTCTGCTTATGTTGCTGGTAAGGCCATTGACAACAAGAACCAAGAAGCTTCTATTCTCGGTGCTGTTGCTGGTGCTCAATATGTTCGTGCTGTTGCCAAGGCTTATGGTATCCCCGTCGTTATCCACTCTGACCACTGTGCCAAGAAGCTTTTGCCTTGGTTCGATGGTATGCTCGCTGCTGATGAAGAATACTTCAAGGCTCATGGTGAACCCCTCTTCTCTTCTCACATGTTGGATCTCTCTGAAGAACCCATGGAAGAAAACATTGAACTCTGTCTCAAGTACCTTAAGCGTATGGCTCCCATGAAGTGTCTTCTCGAGATGGAAATCGGTATCACTGGTGGTGAAGAAGATGGTGTTGATAACTCTGATGTTGACAATGCTTCTCTCTACACTCAACCCGAAGATATCTGGGAAATCTACCGTCGCTTCTCTGAAGTTACTTCTCTCTTCTCCATTGCTGCTGCTTTCGGTAATGTTCACGGTGTCTATGCTCCTGGTAACGTCAAGCTTCACCCTGAACTCTTGGGTAAGCACCAAGCCTATGTGAAGGAACAACTCAAGTCTCAAGATGATAAGCCTGTCTACTTTGTCTTCCACGGTGGTTCTGGTTCTTCTGACCAAGAAATCCAAACTGCTCTTTCCTTTGGTGTCGTCAAGATGAACATTGATACTGATACCCAATGGGCTTACTGGTCTGGTCTCCGTGGCTTTTATGAAAAGAACAAGGATTACCTTCAAAGCCAAGTTGGTAACCCTGAAGGTGCCAACAAGCCTAACAAGAAGTACTATGATCCTCGTGTCTTTATCCGTGCTGCTGAAACCTCTATGGTTGACCGTATCGTTGTTGCCCTTGATGCCTTGAACAACAAGAACGTTTTGTAAATAATTAGATCATTTTATGTGTGTGTGTGTGTATAGTCTATTTAAAAAAAAAATGGTTTTTTTTTTGTCATAATAAAGTACACGTGTATTCTCCAATCTTATAAATATTTAATTATATTCTCCTTTATTTTCTCTTTTTCTTTTTGTCTGTATGGATATACAAAGAAGACTTTCACTTCCTAATTTAAACAAGTTAAGAGAAGAATGGGATAAAAGAGAAGCAGTTCAAGCCAATGCTCAATTATTACCTGGTAAACTTCAGGTACGCTCTCTTTTTATCATATACACAGCTTATGTATTGATCAACACTAGATTGACTTGCTCAATGTTCGAAGTGATGTGGTTGTAAAAAGACCCCTCATGAGACTTCGTATGGGTTCACAACACTACTTTTCTTCTCGTTCAAAACATGCAAATGGAAATTGGAATGAAGGCTTTTTATTTACTATTTCTTATCATAACCAGTTATTTGATACTATCGAGGTAAAACATCATTCTTTGACTAGATATCTATGGGTTAACTCAGTAAACCTTAGCTCGATCTATATGATAAAAGAAGCAAATGGAGATCAAAAGCAAAGCATATTGGCAAAGCAAAACTAAAGATTGCTAAATTAAAAGACAGAGAAGATGTGTTTATCACGTAGGTTGTATATACACATATAGTCATTAGGATTAACAAACCTTAGGTTTCTACCAATGTATGAATATCATGTCAAGCGTTATTTGCCTGCTCATATTCAATTACCACATACATTCTTAAAATCACATATGCCCAACATGGCAAGATTCACTCAATACACAAACAACCTTCGTCCTCATTTACTGTTACCAAAAAATGAAGAAAAAGAACAAACCGAGTTAGAACAAGAACAAGAAGAAGAGGACATGCCTGTCTATGAATTACACCCGAGTCATAGTAAGAATTCAATGACACCTTATATTGGTTCCATTCAAGTCAGAGTACGGTATTCTTTCCAACACCCACCAACAGATGCTGAATCAGATACATTGTCTCCTTTTTATTTCACGCATTCAAATCGATCCATGGACACTTTCAACTCGTTTCTGACAACTTCTCGAAAAAGCAGTCGTAGAAGTAGTACTTATAGTAGCAGTAGTAGTACACACAGCAGTACGTCTTATTCTCGAAAAGACTATCATGATGCAGTTGAACCACGTCTTGTGGTTGTTGATGACTTACAGACCATTCAAGAGTCTTCTTCTTCTTCGCCACTGACACCGAAACCGAAACAATCGTTGGATGTCTTGCCTCGAAGTGAGTCCAGTGTGGACTTTATGTTTCATCAGAATCTAAACCAAGGCTTTCGTCGCAACAATATCAATCTTGAGCAACTCAAGATTGATTTCCCTAAACTAGACGGTGAAAACAAAAAGAAACAGACCGAACTTGTGTCTGATACAGCCAGTATCAAAAGCCATAACTTTGGTGATAAAAACTTTGCTTTTCGATGGATCAATGAGTCCTTTGAAGAAGTGGCTATTTCACACCCTAGTCTTGACCGTATGATTGGCATGGTCGTGAGTCCTCAAACTCGAATTTTATTAAGAGCCGTTGTCAAAATATTTCATGCCTTTGTAAGTCAAAGACAGGTTGGATTTGTTCATTCATATTTGTTTGTGTAGGGTCAAGGGTTCAAAATTACCATTCTTCAGTTAATTTCTTCTTTAGGGCTATTACAAAACTTTTATGCTGAAATTCCAAGGTAAAAAAAAAAAAAAAAAAAAAAAAAAGACTGACTTGTATGGACAGATCACCACCTGCTGAAAAAGTGACAGATCTCAAGTTTTTGGATGAAGCTTATTACTTTTTAGGGCATGCGATCATTGCTTATGTAAGTGATGTTCATCAAGAGAGACTTGTATTCATGTATATCATAGGGCTGGCGTGGTATCTCTTATCTAGGTGATTATGCTAAATATCTAAAAGGTAAGTCATTCAAGAAAAAAAGAAAAAAAAAAAGCGGACATGTTGATAAGCTATGTTAGATGTTGTAAAGACAAAGTCAAACAAAGAAGCCATTGTACGCTATCTAAAGATACCTCAAGAAGATTTGCTTGGTTATGAATATGGTCTGCGTAAAGGAGCTGTATTCCAACCCAGTTATTTTGTTTCTTATGATCATGTACATGAAGCAGTCGTCTTGGGTATTCGAGGCACTTGGGTAAGCAGCCTTTTCATTAGGCGAGATATTGGTTATTAACTCATGGCTGTAGAGTTTGTATGATTGTATTACTGATTTAGTATGTGAATACCGTCCTTGGAAAGGGGGTCTTGTTCATTCTGGTATCCTTGCTTCTGCTCAATGGTTTTTTACTCGCATTATTCCTCAAATCTTCCTGTACGTGGGCGAACAAACAGAATCAGGTAACCGCCGTGTTTCTTCTTTTATTATTACAGGACACTCTTTGGGTGCAGGTACTGCTGCTGTCCTGACCATGATGGTAGTGGATCACATTGAACAACTTCGAGAACTATCGAATAATCCAGACTTCAAGGTCCATTGTTACAGTTATGCTCCAACAGCCAGTGTATCTCTTGATTTATCCGAGAAATACAAAGATCACATTGACAGTTTCGTATGTCAAGATGACCTTGTGGGTCGCTTATCGTATGGTACGGCTTCCTGCGCGAAGGAGCTCATCATGGACTCGGTGATTGCCTTGGATGGTTTAGGAGGTGCCAACAAGGTCAACAACAACCCTTCACTTCGTCAAGAGTGCTTCAGTATCATACAAGCCCGTCGCAAAGAAATATACCATAATAAAGAACCCCGATACCCATTGTTATATGTGCCTGGAAGTGTCTATCAATTCAGGCGTGGTAAAGGAAGCCCAGCCAACAAAGTACCCACAGCGCAAGATATTCAGTTACCCGGTACAGAAGCCAATCGTCCTCGGGCTGCATCTCATGTTGATCAAAGAAGACGCTCGATATCTGCTGCTCTTAGTCAATCTGAGCCTGTGTTACCTACCAAAGCCAGCACGGAAACAAACCATGTCTCATTTACGTTGCATAAATCATCCCCTTTATTGTCTGAAGAGGCACTTATTTCAAAGACATGTCTTGAAGACCATATGGTTGTTACTTACTTGACTGCTTTTCAAATGGCTCGTCAAGACGCCATGCGTCAAAATGCCTTTCGTCGTCATCATTATCCATCTCCCACTGCATCCTCCTCATTTCAAGCATAACATTCAAATACAACTTTTCCAGATAACGCATGTGTGAATTTTTAGCGTTTGTATATGATGCATTATTGTGTAACTTTCAGCATTTAGCAAATAAACAATACTATATCCCCCCCCCTCCTCCTCTTTTTTCTTTTTATCTTTCTTTATGCTTTTCTTCTTCTTTTTTGTCCTTATCGTTTCTGTACTTGCCACACTCCAAAAGAACCCACAACATCAGCTCGATCTTAGTATCTATGTCAACAATAAAGGTATAGGATCTGGCTCTAATATGGATGGTGCAGGCAACTACTTTGATTGTCCTCTACTTCAATCCGACGTTGTTTCTATAGGTAATATAGATTTCAAACTATCCAAAAGCCACCGTGATAACATTGTCAGCCAAAGTCAAGTCATTCATGTAGCCTCTCGTTTAGGCGCCATGTATTTACTGGCTACAGTCAACCATGGTCCTTTGACGACGGATATAGTTGTAGTCTATCAAGATGGATCATACACGACAACAACCCTCCATTTACCAGACTGGCAAACAAGTCATGCAGAACAGATCCATCGATTGGACCCTATTACTTGCACACTCAACCATGGTGCTCATGCACTGCTTTTTCTTGTGCCTGTCTTGGTCGATCCTGCTAAACAAGTCTCTCATGTGCGTTTACCTTCCACGCATGCAGTTGGTTCATTTGCTCCTTCACTTCATATTTTTGGTATCACCACTTTATCCGCTCAGTCTGTGATGACCATCGTTGCAGCCAAAGGAACACATCGCTGGAAAGCATCCACGGATCAAAAGAGAGAGTATCAAATTGTCACGGTGCGAGTGCATAATACAAGTCCTGGCTGGATCCAACATGCCAATGTGTATGTGACAGGTGCACTTTTAAAGACACATACGTATGGTCTCATAAGACGATTAGCACCGGGCCATATCTTGAATGTAGACGTTGCTATTTACACAGTGCGAAAACAGAGAGGAACACAAGCTATTCTTGTGCAAGTGATTGATGCTGAAGGAAATCCAATGGCCCTGCCTGTTGCTTTTGATTCGATTGAGATTGGTGTTCCAGACTATGCACCCACAGAAGCGTAAGTCGCTCTTTTTTTTTTCTTTTTTTGGATGTCTATTCCTTAACCTATGGTTAGTTCACTTCAAGGTCACTCGGTACCTACATGGTATCAAGCAGCTAAATTCGGTATATTTATTCATTGGGGTGTGTATTCTGTACCTTCATGGGCTCCCGTAGGTGCTGATTATGCAGAATGGTATTGGTGGAATTACCATCAAAAAGGCAGTGCTACGTTTGAGTACCATCGTTCTTTTTATGGTCCTGATGTAGAATACGACGATTTCATTCAAGCATGGAAACCAGACAGGTTTGATCCTGTCCAATGGCTTGATATCATTGATGCCAGTGGTGCAAAGTACTTTGTATTTACGACAAAGCATCATGATGGTATAGCTTTGTTTGATACGCATGTATCCAATCGATCCAGTGTTCAATTAAACCCTTACCGAAACTTTGTGAAAGAATTATTTGATGTTGCTCAAACCCATTATCCACATTTAAAGCGAGGCACTTATTGTAAGGGAGACAGAAAGAAAGATCAAAAGCTTATTTCTCTGCTTAGTTTCTTTGCCTGAATGGTATCATCCTAATTATCGTGATGATTCTATTCATTGGCATGGTCCACCTGTGAATCCTTATACAGGCAAAGTGGTTCCTTATACAGGTGGTGCCTTTGTCTCTGATTTTGTGAATGACATTCAAGTACCTCAGTTTTTGGAATTAATACGTGAATTTGAACCAGATATTATGTGGTGCGATATTGGTGCCATCCATAACTCCACTGCTTGGCAAGCCAAGTTTTTCAATGAAGCAAGAGCAAAAAAAAGACAAGTGACAATCAATGATCGATGTGGTAATTCAGTCTCTGATTTCACAACAGTTGAATACAATGATGTTCATTATGTACCTCCAAGGTAAAAAAAAAAAAAAAAAAAAAAAAAAAAATTATGCCATTTTGTTTATATGCTCGATATAGATATTGGGAATCAACAAGAGGTATTGATCCTCATTCGTTTGGATATAACCATCAAACACGACATGATCAATACATATCCACTGTATCTTTACTTCAAGAACTTGTCTCTGTTGTCGCCAAAGGAGGTAATTTCTTACTCAATATTGGACCCGAAGGTTCAGGTCATATCCCTCATGTCATGAAACAGACACTGTCTGATATAGGCAAATGGTTAGACGCAGTAGACGAAAGTATTTTCAATTCAATCCCTTATTGGGTGACGAGCTTAGATATGCATGAACCTGGGCAGACATTGTATTTTACTCAGTCGAATGATGGCCAGTCATTTTTTATCTTTTGTTTCTCGAGACCTTTAGATCAACGTGTGATTGTCAAGACAGCTATTCCTTTACATCCTGAATCACGTATCACTCATATGGGGTTCAAATCAGCACCATCTTTAGCATGGAAGCAATGGCATGATAAACTAGTGATCACAGTGCCTGATTCTATTTTGGATCAAGGTCAATGGATATGGGTATTTCGAGTAGAAGCTCCTTAAAAAAAAAAAAAATAAACGATTTATTTAATTGCGATGTGGTTTTTTCACTTTTCTTCGGTCAAATTCATGAGAGGCATCATATTTAGGTAAGCTAGATAAAAACATGGTAAGAAAACATTTAGACCAAAACAAAAACTTACTCTGCTGGATCTGCTGGTAAAGGCATTGTATAGAAATAATCATGCTCTAATGCTTCTAGTGCAGTCAATCTTCTCTTGGGATCTAAAATAAGTAACTTGTCCATCAAATCACCAGCAAGTGTATCATAGTGACTGTATTCTTCACGCACATGTCTTGTGGATGGTTCAAATCGGACCTTATTCGCATCAGGAAGCATATCCCATCCAGGCATGTTGTCTTGTGTAGGTGAACCACAGAGATGGAATATCTTCTTTAATTGGTCCAAATCATCTGTGCCTTGTAAAATAGGTCTTGACTTGAGTAGTTCACCAAACACACAGCTATCCAATACATCAGTATACCCAAACAAAAAAAGGAGTCTCGCTTCAGAATTTACCCAACACCCCACATATCAATAGCACTTGTATAGCGTCTTTCACCCAGAAAGAGTTCTGGTGGTCTATACCATCGTGTAACAACACAATTTGTATATTCTTTGTTCTCATCTTCCATGCCTCGAGCAAGACCAAAATCAGCAATTTGTAAGATACCATCATTGTTAATAAGTAAGTTGGCAGCTATAGAAGTAATTGAGTATACCAATGCTTATTGTTTTGATTTGATTTGAATGATTATATGTATTCTAATCTCTTTACTTTTGAGTACCTTTCATATCTCTATGAAGAATCTTATTCTATGAGAAAGAAACATGTCAGTATATGTATATACGCATTCATCTATAGATTGAATTACATGGTGAAGATAGGCTGTGCCTTCTAATAATTGCTTCAAATATGTCTTGATCTGTGGTTGATTGAGTTTGACTTTAGGATTATCTAATAAACCAGCTAAATCATGATCCATGTAAGGAAAGACCATATAAATACAGCCCTTTTCTTTGCGTGTTGGATCGCCTCTGTCTACAGCAATATCACTTAATGGTACAATGTTCTTGTGTGAGAGTTGCTTTAGAATTTTGATTTCACGAATGGCTGTGATGGGAATCTAAAAGATGGTTACTATAGTAACCAGGAACATAACACTTACGCCTTCTTTTTCATTATGCATAAGAATTCTTTTCAAAGCTACCAATTGACTGGTATGTTTATCTTTTGCTTTATGAACCTCACTAGACATTGTCTGGTTAAACCACCTTTTTTCGTGTCTTGTTGAATATTTACCCAAAAGTACCTTCACCAAGCTTATCTAAAAATTCATAGTCTGTTATTTTAGAGCAACCCTTAAAGTGGCGAACATGCTTGGGTTGAGGACGATAAGCAGGTGATGCTGAATTGGCAGACCAAGCAGGTGATGGTACGCTACTAAGCGGAGAACCTTCATATACTCGGTGGAGCTTTGGACGTGGTTCTTCCTTGGAATCTTCGTAAGATCGTTTCATTTTTTCTCCTCTTTTATGACAAGAGAATAAGAAAGGACAAGAAGCTTACGAAAGATGCAAAGAAAGATGTAAGAAAAAAAAAAAAAAGAAAAGAAAAAAGAAAATGTATAAATTTAAGCATGGCTTACACACATACACACACACATATATATATATAAATAGGCCCGTCACATATTTCTCTTCCAGAGTTGAAAGAGTGTTTGTCATTATGTCAGGAGCCATAAGTATATATTTATCAAAGTAAAAGTATTCAGTCTTGATAGGACTAATATAAGAGAAAATGATGAATAAATACATTGGCTTTATGGACATAAGAAACCTTACATCATTTGACAACGTAAATGACAACAAGAAACTTGTTTGCTGTCATTTATAGTTGTGTTCAATGCCATTATCTTTACAAACTCAACAGATAATGTTTCGATTTAGGATAGAATAAACCCAAGCAAACAGAGTAACTTCCTTTACACGTCTCTACCAGAAAGATAGGATCCATACATCCCCGACAATAAATAAATATGAAAACACGATCCAAAAGAAGACGCGGTGTTCTACGCGTGTCGTACTCTAAAATTAGCAATCAGGCTGCTTTTATCTCTCTCTTTTTTTTTCTTTATTATTATTATTATCATTAGAAACATCAACCTACATGAGTGCTTCTTCATTATTAGAGGCTCTAAAAAGACACGAATTAGAAGATGTATGTATAAAATAAGCATCGTATCATACTAATCTTTACGCTAGTATTATCCAGTGTAATAGAAGACGCTACTTTTCATATCATGATACTCACATTTATCTAGTTTATTTAGAGAAGGCATCATCAACTTGAACAGTATAGCCAAGGTAAAAGGAAAGTATGGACAAGAGACAGTGATTCAATGATAGCATAGATTTCAGAACAAGATTATCCTCGATTAGGTGTTCGGACAGGCGAAGACAAACAACGATTTAAAGCCTTGACAACCCATCTCAAACAAGCGCAAAAGACACCCATGGCGACAAAACCAAAGACACCTGTTCGATCGAATCATGATCTGATTCCTACTCGAAAGCGTTATTCACCACCTACTGTCTCACCTGAAAGAAAGGCACGACGCATGACCATAGCACCGCAAGCACCCATGCGTACACCTCCATCACCAGCACATACAAACAACAAGATGTCGTCGCGTGATCGAAGATTATCTTATTTACCCCCACCTTTGACATCACGACGAGAATCAATGTACCTGTATAAATCACCTGTACGTCCTATTCGATCTCCCATCAAAAACAGCGTCCCATCAGCGCGCACTAGCCTAATGAAGCCAGCAAGTCCTGTACTTAAAAAACCAACACGACCCAAATCTGTCTTGACTGAAGAACAAGAGCCACTCAAGGCACCGGTGATGGAACGACCTTCTACTCGACTACTGGATGCCTATGGTATTCCCATCACACAGCGACCTAAATCGACCATGGAAGTACCACTACCACCACCGACAATACAACAAGGATCCTTTGAAGAATTTATGGCATCGAAAAAACAGACCATGGTTGTCCATCGCAACACTACGGTCCATTCCGAGCTACAACAACGTATTCGTGTCTGTGTTCGAAAACGACCTTTAAACAATCGAGAATTAGCAGGACAAGAAGACATTGCACCTCTGGTAGGCACACGCACCATTCAAGTTAACGCACCCAAACAACGCATTGATCTGACACGATACACTGAAAAACATACATTTACATTTGATGAAGCGTTTGATGTCCATACCTCAAATCAACAAATCTATGCCCGAACAGCCAAACCTTTGGTGGAATATGTGTTTACAGGCGGTAAGGCTACTTGTTTTGCTCATGGTCAAACAGGGTCTGGAAAGACCTACACCATGTTGGATCCCACCCATGGTCTCTATGTCTTGGCTGCTCAAGATATCTTTCGATTACTGTCCAATCAGTATACTCATTTAGAGGCAAGTGTCGGGTTTTATGAAATCTATCAAGGCCAATTGTATGACTTGTTAAACAACAAGCAACGATTGACTGCCCGTGAAGATGGAAATGGGAATGTGGTCATTGCCGGTCTTCGTGAACAACCTATTCAGAGTGTACAAGACTTGAAGTCTGTGTTTGAATACGGCAATGCAGGAAGAACAACAGGCAAGACAGGGGCGAATAACAAATCATCTCGATCGCATGCTGTGCTTCAAGTCTTGTTGAAAAAGAAACAGACGCGCAAACTGCATGGTAAACTGAGTTTTATTGATTTGGCTGGTAGTGAAAGAGGAGCAGACCGAGGTGATGGTGATACCAAGACAAGGTAAGCATTAGGTCTATGGATATCATCCACTCACTTTTGGATAGATTGGAAGGAGCCGAAATCAACAAGAGCCTGCTAGCATTAAAAGAGTGCATTCGTGCCTTAGATCAAAACAAGAACCATACACCCTTTCGAGGCAGTAAATTAACTCAGGTACTCAGGGACTCATTTACAGGCAACTCAAGAACATGCATGATTGCTACTATTTCACCGAACAATGCCAATAGTGAACATACACTTAACACACTTCGTTATGCAGACAGAGTTAAACAGCTGAGAGGTGAGTCTGATCCTCGTCTGGTCAATACAGAAGAACAAAAGACAGTCGAGCCAACAGAAGATACGGAGATGAGCAACCATGATAGTCAGAGTGTGACTACTTCTGATGCTCATTGGGAAGATGAAGTATCCGAGAACCTGTTTGAAGTTGATTTCCCTACTGAAGTGACGACCAATGCACTTGCTACACCTACTTCAGATCGACATTATACAACCACAGAAGCATCTCCTCAAAGACAAGAGAAATACATGAAGCGACTTGAGTCACCACCTGCTGAAGTATTTTCAGAAAAAATGGAAGATCCGTTCTTTTCAACACCATTATCCAAGAAGCCCACAGAAGAAGTGCAGGAATCTTTATATACACGTATGCGTCGATTTATTAATCTTCACCGAGCTCAAGTACAAGAAATGGAAGGTTGTCTAAGAGAAGAGAAAAAGATGATTGCAACCCTCTGTCTTAAAGTAAAGAGCCAATATGAAATACCAGACGCATTTGATCATCAAGAAGAAGAAGACCCACAGACACGCGATGATTTCGAGACTTATTTAAATGATTTGGACGATATTTTGGACAGAAAACAAACTGTATTGAATGTTGTAAAAAACAAACTTAAAGATGAGCTTGTCGAAGATGCTTAAATAATAATAGGGCGTTTAAATTTAAATTCTTTCTTTTTTCTTTTTTTTTATCATTATTATTATCAACATGATGAATATTGAACCTGATAAACATTTAACTGTCTTGTCTTTGAATTGTTGGTAACATCTTCTTCTTATGTTTATCCTCTGTTGATACGCTTGTAGGGGTCTTTTTGTTGTTTCTAAAGAAAGAAAGTTCCGTTTACAGGCTATTGCAGACTACATAAGTCAACAAGACTATGACCTTGTTGCTCTTCAAGAAGTATGGATGTGGTCTGATTTTGATACTATCAAAGAAACAACAGAAAGTGTATTGCCTTATTCAAGATATTTTTATAGGTAAACATTAAGGGATCGTCTGAATCTTATTTCTATTTAGTGGTACGCTGGGAAGTGGGTTAGTCTTGTTGTCTCGTTTCCCTATTGTGTGTTCGAATTATGTTCAGTTTACATTGGCTGGTAGACCACTCAAGATATTTCAAGGTGATTTCTATGTTGGTAAAGGATTTGGTTCTGTCTGTGTAGACCACCCAGATATTGGGCTTATCGATGTCTATACGACGCATGTAAGTGATACACCATCAAGTTAACACTGTACTGAAACAAAAAAAAAAAAAAAAAAAAAAACTTTTAGCTACAAGCTGCTTATGGAGATCAAGATGATTATGAAGCACAACGAATTACAGAGTGTTGGCAAATAGCCAATAGTGTCAGAATGTCTGCTGCACAAGGTAGACATGTTATTCTGGTATGGATTTAATAAGGAGGAGGAGTGATGATATAGGATACTGACATGAACATAAGGCAGGAGATTTTAATAGTATTCCAACCAGCCATTGCTATCAACTGTTAAAGCACCATGGATTTATGACAGACAGTTGGCTTGAGATGCATCGAGATGTTACAGACAGTCAAGAATTAACTGCTTTTGATTGCATTCAACAGTTTGGTATCACTTGTGATTCACCTATCAATACATGGTCTAAACACTTGCTTAAACAAGAGCCTTATGCTAAAGATATAGGGGATCGATTAGACTATATATTCTATAGAAGATCCCCTCAACTTCAATGTCAATCATCCCAAGTTGTGATGTATGAACCTATACCCAATACCAACAAGAGTTATTCGGATCATTTTGGTGTACTCTCTGTCTTTCAGATCACAAATCAGACATCCAGTGCACTCAATAGTCAGTTTGCTCCCATAGCAAGTGCTTTAGCCAAACCTACCACAACAGAATTAGTGCCTGGTCAATTGAAACCCATGATTCGATTGTTACAAAAGGACCTGTATAGAGCAACAACAACAGCCAATGGTCATCTGTTTTGGTTTGCCTTGTCTCTGTTGATTGTGTTTGCAACATGGACAAGTCTGTTGATTGCACCTAGTATATTCATGAGCATGTTGATTGGACTTGTGTTGGTTTTGTTTTCAGCATTGGCCATCGTATTTCTTTTAGTGGGATTTGTGTTTGGCAAGACAGAACAAAGGTCTCTTAGGCAATACCTTAAGGATATGCAACTTTATCTTGATCGATTAGAGCCTACTTTAAATACCACACATTCTTCTTCAGCAAGTCTTCTTAGTCCTACAAATACTTCTATCTCTACTTCAGATGGACTTGTGATTAAGAACAAATAAAATTTTTATTACTTAATGCCTAATTGCTTTACTTTCTCTATTAATCCTTTAACAGAATCTTGTATGATTTCTTCATCTGTCTTGGAATCACTCATACCTATCAAGGCTAATTTATCTGTCATGGCTGTGATGGTGTCCTTTAGATCTTGATCTTCTTCTCTCAAGAATAAGAAATCAGATAATCCATAATAACCTGAAGAACTGTCATAGGAAGGTAAATCAAAAGATGTCATATGTTTGTTGGCTAAGTGCTGTACAAGGACTTGTGTAATCTACTCTAATATTGAGTTTTCTTTTTAGGCTATCTATTTTAGCACTCTAAATATACTTTACTGACTCTAGATCTTGATATTCACTTTTAGCACTTTCTGATGTCCATTCATTCTCTCCAGGAACTGTACGACGAAATTGTCTCAAATTATCCATTTTCAATTTAGCCAATAAGAGAGGTGTTAACCGAAAAGGATCTGTAGCTGGTATATTGGCACCTATATATATAGATATATATATAGATATATATATATATTGGATTTAATTTTATCAGATCGATGCACACACACACACACACCACACATACCTACCTTCGTGTAACAGCATCAATACGCATTGATGATTACCAGCCAACACAGCTATGAAAAACAATAAGCTTTTTTTGTTATTCCATACAACACACCTTACCCATATGTAAAGGTGAAAGTCCATCTACATCCCCTACACCATTATTCACATCAGCTCCTGCACGTACAAGTAGTTGTGCTATTGAGGTTGCCACTGAAAAATCATCCCTTCGACTGCAAGCAATATGTAAAGGTGTTCTCAAATGTTTATCTCGAATGGTATCTGGGTTGATTTCTGGCAAAGCAGCTAATATTTCCTTGACTTGTGTTTATGTGAGTGATATGTTTTTTTTTTGTAGAGTGTCAAGTCATACCATCACTCGCTTGTTTTCTTGCACAAGCATCAAGAAGAATAGAATCTGATGGTGTAAGTTGAAGCAGATCACGTAGTCTGTCTGCTCGTTTATTCTTTCTTAATTGGCATTTACTAATCCTGTTCTGCATTTCTTCTTTTTTTATGAGAATAAAAAAAAAGGACTAAAATAAAAAGAAGCATATGAAATCTTCTTTTGTTAGCCAATCATTGGTTGCCTAACCAAATGATCAGCATTGAATTATATTAAACGCGTCCATGTTTTATTACGCGTTGTTTATATCACGTTAAAAACAAGTTGTTTCTTATGACAAGTGAATCTGACACCTACAAAAAAGATATTAAAGACGTTTCTCCGAGAATTACACTTTTTCTTTCTTTCTTTATATTCCCTTTCTGTTGACATATGCCTATTGAAATAAACCAAACAAAAACACCGAAAGAAATGATATCCTCAATTGAAGAATCAGATTCAGATATTGATGAAGACGCCTATCAATCTGACTTCAAGAAGAAGAGACCCAAGAAACCATTTACGACTTCTTTATTATCGGGCTTATTGTCCACACAAACACAGGCCATTCAGATCCCAACAAACACAAAACAATCATCAGACCCATTGTCTGAAAGTCTGAAGCGAAATTTAGAATGGGAGCATGCTCAAAATTCAATGAAGAAATATGATAAAAAGAAATCTTTAGAGGATTTAACATGGGTAGATGACTTTAGTCGATGGTAAATAAATCATGTTTCTTGACAAAAACAAGCTTTCTTTTCGATTTGGTTGGGATATTGACATTCAGACACAACCAATGCTGCTGAAAATAGATTAGGTTTTGAAATAACTTAAAGTCCCTTGCTCTTCACCAAAATCTTTTTTTTTTTCTGAAACATAATGTACTTTGTCCATAGTATTCAACTGACATAGTTCATAACGGTGTTTGAATAACTCTAGTCGAAATTAAACTTGAGTCTATAATGCTTAATCAATGACGAATTTCAATGTGGGGACAAGCGGATGTATTGCAATCTCCGTTGAACTTTATTTCGAAAACTTGGCAAGTTGAGACGTAATTCATGTCCAATTTAGTAATATAGTAAAAGGTATAAAAAAAAAAGGCAGAGTCTAACTCTATAGATCATTATTCTTCTTCAAAAATGTCTGCTACTACTACTACCACCAAAATGCACTATGTTCGCCTCGGAAACACTGGTTTAAAGGTTTCTCGTATCTGTCTTGGCTGTATGTCTTATGGTAACTCTAAATGGAGTCCTTGGGTCAAGGATGAAGCTGAAGCTGTTGCTGATATCAAGGAAGCCTACAACTTGGGCATCAACTTTTTCGATACTGCCAACACTTACTCCAACGGCGATAGTGAAAAAATTCTCGGTAAAGCCTTAAAGGAACTCAATGCCCCTCGAAGCCGTGTTGTTATTGCTACCAAGGTCTTTGGTCCTGTCTATGACGATACTGGTAAATCTGATCGTAGCACTCTTCAGACAGACCCTGATATGATTAATCGATTTGGTCTCTCTCGCAAGCATATCTTTGATGCTGTTGATGCTTCCTTGGAACGTCTTGGTGTAAACTATATTGATTTATACCAAATTCATCGTTTTGATCCTAACACGCCTATTGAAGAAACCATGGAAGCCTTGAATGACTTGGTGCGCTCCGGCAAGGTAAGGGATTTGACGGCACGATAAATTCAGTTGACCAATACACAACACTAGGTTCGTTACATTGGTGCTTCCTCTATGGCCACTTGGCAATTCGCTAAAATGAACCACGTCGCTGAAAAGAGAGGTTGGGCTCAATTCGTCTCCATGCAAAACTTGTACAACTTGCTCTACAGAGAAGAAGAAAGAGAGATGGCTCCTTACTGTTCTGACAGTGGTATTGCTTGGATCCCTTGGTCTCCTCTTGCTATGGGTCAACTCACAGGTAAAAAGAGAGAAACCACAAGAAGCGGCTCTCGTTTTGTTATGTCCATGTTCCCCACCACACAAGCTGAAAGCAACAATACTATCATTGACCGCGTTGAAGAACTTGCCAAAAAGTACAATGCTACCTGTGCTCAAATTGCTTTGGCATGGGAGTTCACCAAGCCTTATGTCAGCAGTCCTATTGTGGGTGTTAGCAAAATTGAACAACTTTACGACCTTGTTGGCTCTTTGGATATCAAGCTTACAGAAGAAGATGTCAAGTACTTGGAAGAACCTTACACTCCCAGAGGTGTCATTCTTTAATTGATTATATTGTAAAATCTAGAATACCTTTTTCATTGTGTTTCTCAATAAACAAAAAAGACCTGTAGCCTATTGAAGGTGCAACTTGAGTATGATTATTTAAGAAATAAATACCATAATTCTGATAACACTAACACCTAGACCATGGACTTCAACCAAATGCTTATCGAGCAGTTTACTGCTACAAAAACCAAGTTAGCTTGACTAAAACTCGGTTCATTAAAGAGTGACCAGCTCAATAAGCCAAATGTCTTTTTTTTTTTCTTTTTTGATGTGGTGTTTTATTTGAACAGGCAATGTAGTAGTGCATCGCTTGCTCAGGAAATAGAGACAACATGCAGATGGATGCTTCACCAGTGAAAAAGAAGACATATCTTTGTCTTTTTTTTTCTTAGGCGTATAAAGGTGCCATAAAGTCCGCTTATATACACATGGAAGCTCCAACTACCTACAAACCATGTCTACTAACATACAGGGTACCTTTGGGGGTTGATATGTACCAAAAAAAAAAAAAAAAAAAAAAAAAAAGCGACTTGTAAAATTTGAACAAAACATTTTTTTTTTGTAAGGGAGACTTGCTCCAATTTTATTTTAAGTCCTTTAGACGTCAAAAGAGTGGAAGAAAAGACTGTGGTATTATAAGAACTAGACTAAGGAATGGGAAATGAGCCTGTGGTAGAAGAAATTGAGAAAAGAATAAGAGTTTAAGAGAGCTTGATAGATACTTGAAATGGAGAGAACATCATGAGTAGTGAGAGAGGAACTAGAAAGGAAAGCGGAGGAGAGAATTTACGGTTCATAATCAAGGCGGGATTCATCATGCAGCTTATTTGCTAAGCGGAAAACTGTCTTGGTTATAGTTTTGGAGAGGAATGGGTTTTCAGAAAAAACAGATTGCCAGTGAGCTTGCCAGAGGGCTAGAGCAGTGCATGCAAAGATTTGGAAGGTACTTAAGGAAGGAAAATGGAGGAGAGAAACACGAGGGATAACAACCCGAAGGAGGAGGACTTGACGTAGGAGATTGACCGAAGGTGCACGGATGTTGGGATTGATGTACTTGGAGAAGACATGAGACCAAACAGCATACTTGGTAGGGCAGAGGAAATAAAAGTGATCAAGGGTATCAATGGAAGTAATGAGATTTGAAGGACAGTGGATACAAAAGTTATTAGGAACTGTATGGGGCATAAGACGATGTAGGTGAAAACGGTTGTTGACTTTGTTGTGAAGCATCCTGTAGAGGACATTGCGAGCAGGGAGAGGGATCTTGAGAGACCAAAAGCGTTTCCAGTTAGGCGATAGGCGGGGATCAGGCGGTATAGGAGGGGAGGAGCTATGGCATAATTTACGATAAGAATGAGTGGAAGATGTAATGGGGAATTGAGAGTATGTAAGGGTTGAAATGAATGACTGTAAATCAGTGGAGCTAATGTGAGAGGTTGAAGGAAGAATAGAAGAGGAAGAAATACGAGGAGCAGGAGAAAAGAGTGACAGGACAAAGGGATTGAGGAAGAGCTTTTTTTGACGAAAGTGTAGTAAAGCGCGGTAGGTGGCCGATTCAAAACGAGGAACTTCTTGCCGAGAGCGAAACCGAAGGCATTCACTAGAAGAATCAAAAACAAAAATGTGATTACCTGTTAAGGCTAGCATACTGGGATTGTGTTTGAAATATTCATTTTTAGAAATAGGAGGGTTGGATGGAGGTGGAGAAGGATAGATAGAATGTAGAAGTTCAGAAAGTGGAAGGCGAAGGCAAACGTGAAGGGGAACATGACAATTGGAGAAGTTGTGGGGTAGATAATCTATAGCTAAGAAAATACGGTTGAAGTAAGGAATGTCAATAGAAAGTTTTTTTCGTATAAAGGGGAATAACAAAGGCCAGTGGTAAGTAGGGTATTGTGGGGAACAAAGGAAGAAAGAGAGGGTAAACTGGAGATAAGGAAGTGAAGGTAAAGAAACAGCAAAAGAGTGAGGAACTAATAAAGGGTAGACCCATTGCCATTGAAGAGCTCTCTGTTGTAGATGAGGATCAATGACGCTAAATCCACCTTGAGAACGAGGTAAAATGAGTGTTGAGAAAGGAATGGCACCAAAACGACGACTGTTGATGAAGGAAGTGATGAGGCGTTGCAATGTGCTTTGTTGTGTTTTGTTGAGAGGAAGCAGGCGAAGTACATGTCATAGTCGTGATAGAATGAGTGAATTGAGGACAGTAGCTCTGCCTCTAACATATAAATTTCTAGTGCTGTGTATGAGACATGCTTGCTGGATGGTTCGGAATAATTTGTCGATATGTGAGTTTCGTTGATGGGGACCGGAGTAAATTGGATAACCAAGATAAATAACTGCTTCAGGCGAGGTGTTGTCATGCCAAGTTGTAATGTTCTGTGAAGCTAAAAAGTACTTCCATCTTGGATTAGGTTTACCTGACAGCGAAATGGCTGTAGTCTTGTTGAAGTTGAGTTTAGCATTGGAGGCTAGCATGTAATTGTGAATTAATTGTTGAAGGCATAGAAGGTCTTGGCGATTATGAAGTAAAACGAGTGTATCATCGGCATAGGCGAGAACTTTGACAGGTGGTGCTGAGAAGGATGGAGATGAGGGATTGTCTAGTTGTAGTTGTTGAAAGGAAAGTGAGAGGTCATTTGGTGATACGGAGGATGGCGGATGATGGTTTTTGGTTTCTAGTTGAAAGTCAAAACCTTGAATATTAGGATTTTGTTGAATAGAACGAAGGAATGGGTCGAAAGCAATGTTGAATAATAAAGGACTGAGTGGATCTCCTTGTCGGAGACCTCTATGTTGTTGGACTGTTGTGGAAGAGATATGACCATTGATATTGAAACTAATGTCAGTAGAGAAGAAAAGAGATGTGATGGATTCAATGAAAGTGTGGGGTATGTTAAATGCATGCATAACTTGAGTCAGATAAGTAGGATGGACCCTATCATAAGCTTTCTCTTGGTCGAGAAGAAGGGCAATAGAGTTGGAATTAACATGGTGTGCAATAGCTTGTATCGATTGTAGGATCTGACCATTTTCTGCGATGAATCTACCAGGCATAAATCCGATTTGGTGTGATGAAATATATTTGTTGAGGTAAGGCATAAGTCGAGCATTGATTAATCGAGTAAAAGTTTTGGCATCTGCGTTAATGAGTGAAATGGGTCGCCAGTTTGTTAGCGAAGAGAGATTGCCCTTTTTTGGTAGTAGAATCATACAAGTTTGTAACCAGGACTTTGGAAATCTAGAGGAGGTGAGTGCATCATTGTATACCTTTACGGCCAAAGCGCCAGTAAGTGGATGCTGCAATAAAATGGAAAGTAGTTCGTACGGTAACCCATCTATACCAGGACTGCTTTGACTTGGGGTTCTAGCCGCACCTTCTTGAAGGTCTTGTAGGGTGATGGGAGCACATAATCGATTATGCATTACATCTGGAATGCTGTCACTAGAAGGAATTGTGCTAGTGAGATCTGCAATATGTTTCATACTTACCTGGTCAGGGCAGTAAAGCTGACCGTAAAAAGTTGAGACTGCATCTTCCATTTCTTCGGTCGATTGACAGAGGTTGCCGATGATGGGGTGAATGAGTGGCGACATGGATTTCTTAGCTGATTTGGATTCAATAGTTCTCTTGAGGTAACCTGCTGAAGTCTCACCATTTTCTCTCCAGTGTCGACCAGCACAAAGAGCAAGATTGTTGACATAGTCCTCTTGTACCATTGCAATTTTCTTTTCAACGTTTGAAAGGAGTGGATGAGGAATGCGAGCTGTACCGTATTCTTTGAAATACTTGTTGCGCTTGCGTTGAAGACGCTTCATCAGACGAACTCGCCATGCTGCTTGTTGTCTGCCAATCTTTTTTGCAATAGTTTTTGTGATCTGTTTGATTACATCCCATTGTTGTTGTGTTGTGGGGCATGACTCTTCAGAAAAGGTTTCTATCAGTGAATGATAATCATCCAATGCAGAGTTCAAGGCTTTGATGAAGTAAGAGTTCTTGGCCAGACTAGGGTGAGCACGCCACAGACCTCGACCTTGTTTGTTTTGTGCAAAGCGGAAAGTAGCTGAGAGAAAGCATGATCGGTCCATCTTGGAGAGAGAAACTCAATGTCATGAGAAAGAATGTTGTCAGCAAAGAAAGGTGAAGCAAATATGTAGTCAATGGTGGATGTATCCGACTCTCCACGACGAAAGGTGGGAATTCGTTGATCGTGTTGAAGCACATGAGTGCATTCTGTAAAGTAGGTAGATAGCAAATAGTGCCATTTCCATTGAGAAAGAATGCTGGATGAATTGATAGGAGACTCTTTGTCAGGAAGGTTGCAGGTAGAATATGAGTGAAAGTCGTAGTTGAAGTCGCCTACAATGATGAGGGAAGGTGTGGATGTATCGTCATCCTCTGATGGTAAAGGACTGGAGAGGGGATCAAAGAAATCTGAAAATGGTTGCATAGTCATCAGATCGTTGTAAAAGAACTGTCTTAGGCGTTTTGTCGCTGGAGCATAAATGTTGGCTAGAAGGAATGGAGGAAAAAGGTTAGAAGTGTGTGTAATATTACATATGATGACCCTTTGGTCTATGGTAATCAAGTATGGTGTGATTTGTATATTAGGATTGTTGCTAATTATCCCACAGTGCTGAGTCCATATTGAGAAAGTCGGTTTGGAAAGGAAGTCGAGTTGTTGTTGCATAGTAATGTTGCTGGCATGTGTTTCTTGGAAGCATAGGATGTCTAGTTGTTTAGTTTTCAAGTATCGAATAAAGCTGCTGCTAACTTCTGGTTGTGATGGTTTTGTTAAACTTCGGCAATTAAGGGAACATATAGAAAGGTCAGTAAATGAATGTGAGGGGAACTTACGAGATTGGGTTGTGCTTGAAGTCGACATATTTATTGTTGTGAATTCGCTTCACCTTCAGCGAGAGGTTCAGAACTACTTGTTTGATCAATTTGCATTTCTGAGTCGTCAGTTATCTTCTCAGGTGTTGGGCGAGAGAAAATAAATGCTGGAGCATCATTGTCTGTTTGGTCTTGTTCATGTAATGCAGACTTTGGCTGGGTCTGAGGGAGAAAGGCACGGAGTTGTTCTTCGGTAATCCAATTCTTT